CGTCGCGTAGCAGCGGTAGAAGCACGCGTAGAACCACTACTGTACGAAGCTATGCCAGAGTCAGGAACCACGGCGGGCAGGGTCAGGCAAGAAAGTCGGCCGAAACGGAGAACCGTGGGTCAGCAAGAGCCAATACGACAGCTCCACCACCCCTGGCATACAGCACCCGGATACTGCTGCCGGAGCCAGGCCAAGTAGCTGTGACGATTGCATGCGCGGCCAGATAGAGCGAAAGAGTTCAAGAGCCACCTGGATAATCCAGCGAAAGTGACACGAAACGTAAGTTACCTCCGCGTGACCGACTTGTGCATGTGTGTTTCGCGATTCGCATCCCTGCGTGTCCGATTTGTTTCCCCGTGGTTTGAACATCCTTGACCACAGAGCTGAGTCACGAACTGTAGAACTATCCTAGGGCCTCTTGTTCTACCCCCGCCCAGACATCCAGCTCCCAAGTTTTGAGGACTTATGTCGCGGCCATCAATCGGCAAGTGCCTGCGGAAGTGGCAAGACCGGACAACAGTTGCCGGCGGCCACCTGGTGGATCAGCTGTGTCTGCGTTGTTGAAATGAGCACCAGCTGTTCTGCAGCGAACTTCTGAGTCTACCGGTTCGTGTCCGTAGCTTGCATGTGATCGGAAATGCACATATCACATATCGTTATCGTGGTTTCCAAAGACACGGCGATCCGACTGTTCTGGCAGCCAATGCTTTGTTGGGTTTTACGCTTTATCGTGGACATGTTGTATTACCGACCAAGATCGTGCTGTCCAGGCTCTGCTGTCGGCTGCCTTTGATCTGCACGGTCGCTACCTCAGAGCCTGTTTCCGCATTGACTCGAAACCTTGGTTTCAGTCTGTATCGGGGGGAAGAATTGTACAAAAGGCATGCAGCAGTTCACCATGCTGCATCTATGGGTCCTTCAGCAAAGCGGCAGCTTTGCTCCTCTGCTCCCCAGGTCATTACCACGGTGTTTCTGAGTTTGGTCTTCCTAGCCGGGCGCCAAGTCAGCAATTGCCAGACAAGCAGCGCGTTGGCTGCGCGTAGTTTCCACGGAAGCAGCCAGCCGTGGGTAAAAGAAATGGGATCAACCTCTATCGCCAAAACGGGTTTGAGCAATGGGATCAAGTGGAAGCGGGGTGAAGAAATAAGATCCACCTCATCGCCCGATTCGCGGGCGGGTTTAACAAATGCGATAAGCCGCCATCGCCTCATGAGGCGAACTCGTATTCAGGGCATCATCCCAGAATCGCTCCCTCATGTACTGGTGGGCCGTTACACAAGTACCCTTGTTGCAATGCTTCAACGAAACTATGCACCATGCCATGGCTGGCGAAAGAAAAGCACAAAATTAGTCTCGCGAAGCCTGACACCTGCAGCGCCGGTGTGCTTGATGTGCCCGACACACAAAGACACACAGACATACCGTTTAGAGAAGGCAGCCGAAGAGAGGGACAGGGGATTCTTGATCGATCTGCTGCGCGCAGCTTCCGTCATTTCTCCACGGCACCGGGCTGGTGGACCTGGAGCAGAGAATGGCAGGAGCGAGATGGGCCGCCGTGGGTCAGGAAGGGGCGGGTGTCGTACAGCAATCTCACTTGGCAGTGACTTGGCAGGAACAGCTGGCAATCCCTATGTATCTTGGCATCGAGCGGTTTCAGTGAGCTCGTGCTGGTGCCACATTTGTCGCTCCAACCCGCATTGGAAGTGCTACCCTTGACCTTCGCAGATGTATATTGAAGGGACTAGAGTATGCAAATGGTCGGCTCCAAAGGTGATCCTGGAGGTGGAGCGGGACACGGCGCCCGAGGATGTTAGGAAGGTGGCACATTTGCTTGACCGTAGTTTGAACATTTTACGAGCGCGAAGTCCTCAGACTCGCGGCCAAGCATGGCCAGGCCTACAGTTCGCAGCTGCGGGAGGTGGAGGCCTCCAAGGCCGCGCCGGGCCTCCGAAGCATTCGTTGGAAGCTCTCATTCCCTGCCAGGACTGTCAAGCTTCCAACAAGGCCTGCAGGGCGAAGAAGCAGAACTTGAAGAAGGCACGCCCCTGGGTAAGAAGGGACTTGGAACGAGAGAGGGACGGTGCCACTTCATTCCCACTGATTGTAGCGAGGTGGTGGTGTTTGTTGCAGTCTTAACTTGTTCGCAGCAGCCTCTACGAAGCACTTCCCTGAAAGCTCGTCAGGCTGCCGATTTCATACTCAATGGCATCCCACGTTCGGCTGAGCCCCAGAGGGAGAAAAAGGTGCCAGCCTTGCGAGCGTCAGCAGCGCCGTGTGGTTTGCCACTAGCGCTCGCCCGATTGTGAGCCTAAGCGAGGCTCGGCGGAAGACCCGAGAGCCAGAGCGTTCCGACGACGATCCTTGGGGCGACTGGAGCGACCATCTCAAGCAGCTTGGGGCAAACTCGTGTTGACCTCTCAAGCTGGCTTGAACCGTCAACCCCAACTGTTTCTCCACGCGTGGCCGAGGGCTCAATGGGACGCGCTTGGGGATGAGATCAAAGAAGGCGCGGACAAGCTCGTTCCTGGTCGAGTAGTATCCGGGAGTGGACCGATGTGCCCATGCTGACACTGGCCCCTCTAAGCTTGGCTGACCTTTGCAATTTGAAGTTGCTCCCTTTGAACCAGGGTCGGCGCAGTTCGCCAAGAACGTGGAGAAGGCCGACAAACTGTGAAATCTACAGCGAATCATACCTCGTAGCCCCTCGTCTCCTGTGCACAAGACCTGCCTGGTGTTTCCGGTGAGGACTACTTCAGCTGATTGCCAGCAGAGATGGTCTTTCCGGGCGGAGGGTGCGACTTCGCTCGGCTTGTTAATGACAGGTGGCGGCGCATCTGTTGCTGCTGTTATGGCTTCAGTCCCCAGCCTCTCCTCAAGAGCCCCTCAGCTTTACTCGGATATGAGAAATCTACATGAGCTCGATCAGCCAAGGGCACTTGGGACCTGGGGACGGAGGGCTCTGTGGATTAGGCAGCTGTAGGCTGCACAACTCTGCAGCCATGTTCACCGCACGACTCTGGAAAAAGTGGCACGGGCGTCCTCTCCACGCAGTGTCCGAAGAAGCTGCCTGTGTGTCGTCGGCAGTACTCCATGTTGCTCGCAATGCTGCACGAAAATCAAGCCAACTCGCTCACAGGGGGCAGGCATGCCGATATCCATCGATAGCGCCAGGGTCATGAATCTAAGGGCTCATCGGATTCAGAAAGCACTGGAGAATTTTGCTTAAGGACACTTGCCTTTGACCCAAATTACGCATTGGATTGGACTTGCACGCGTCAGCCGTTACACCAGCAGCATCGGCAAATTAACCGGCATGGATCAAGCAAGCTAGGGTCAAAAACAGCCGCCGCCCAAGCATGATGAATCGAAGAGGGAGTGGTCGTTTCACCTGGAGGGTGCGAAGGACTCTAAAGAGGGAGGCTCAAGTAATTTTGGAGAAGCGGTACAGTAAGCGGCATACCAAGCGGCGTATGAAGTCTTCAGTCACAGGACGACGTTGGCTTAATTCAGTTTACCACGCATGGGACACTTCCAGCGGGCCATACTGAAAAGCGGCTCACGAATAGATTATGAATCAGACTACCAGTGTCCTTAACCTTCGTTTAAAGTCTCGTCTCTTCACCGTCAGGTGCAACATGGAGAAGCCGCGGCCGCAGTGCCTCTTCCCGCACTTGGAGCAGAGGGCCCAGCCGGAGCCGCAGGCTAGGCCTGTGCTGCTAAACACACACAAACACTCACTCCTGCGCAGATCTCCAATGCGAGTACTGGGTCCTAATTACTTTCCTGACTACACACCTTTGATACTTTAACCCTGCTCATGCTCTCATGTCGAAAATAAGATGCGGCAGGTACGTGCAGAAAGCGTCCTTTTCCACATGTCGCAGGAAATCTGCAGCGTCTTCGTTGGATGCTGACTGCAGAGACCCCCAGCATCCCCCTGCTGACATACACTGTCGAACAATCTACCAGACGCTAGTCCGTATCGCTGGCTCACAGGAGGTACACGCGCGCACACACACACACACACTGACTGATGCACACACACACACACGCAGGCACAAGCGCACGACCCCAAAAGAAAGAAGGAAGGAAGGAAGGAAGGCAAGAAGGAAAGAAAGAACGAACGAGAGATGCACGCTTATATACTCGTATGCAAACTGGTTCACCTGCCCATTTGTCCAGCCATCTGTCTGTCCATCTGCCCCTCGGTTCACCCAGCAACAGCTAGCAGCTACCTCCCTATCTATCGGTCGGTCCGACGGCCGGTCTGCTCCATCTCTCTTCCTATCTCACATTCCGTGATGTTGCATCTGTGCTAGAAGCACTACATCTTATCTAGCACTGTCGACCGCAGGAGCAACGAGCGGGAGGTGCCTCTGTTTGAGAGGTCTTGGGGTGCTGCAGAGTGATTTGGCTTTGTTAACGCAGGCAGGGTGCGTTCAAGGCTGCTGGCGGGGATCTATAGACTGGAGAGCGAAAGCATCAATAGCTCTGTGAGATCTTTCTGCTCAGGGCGATCCCGACTGAGCCGGTCGCAGCCGTCACTCAGGCGGTGTCAGTCTTCCTTTTTCGATCTATGTGTTCGACCACACACCTGAGACGTTGAATTGCAGGGTGTATTGCTTCCCGAAGTCAGCAAGCTCATGTGTTTCGATACTTGTCACGTTAAAAAAACATTGCGATCATTCTCGGCATGTTGGAACGCTTTCATCGAAGCTTTGTTCCCAGCACTGCAGACCAGAACAAGTACTTGCTTTCCAGCTGTTTGTCGCACACAACTGTTTCCGGCTCAGAATTCAAGTTGCAGGATTCAGAACTGACCACGTTGCAGAGACTATCATAGCAACAGACGACATGTTGACGTATCTATGCAAGCAGTGCTGCAGAAACCATCTGCATTGCACAGCAGGCAAAATAGCGCGAATTCGCCCTGTAAGTTTCACTGCCGCAGCAAACGTATTCTGCGCACTCCTTAGCACCACATCGCGGGCAGATGTACAATGCCGGATTCAGAAGAAACCTTGGATCCATTTAGCAAATGGACGGCCGGCAACTCAAGGGAGAGAAGCAAGTAGGGAGGGTTTGCGGAGTGAACCTGCTTGTTCAGCCTTCAGTGCACGTCCCAGGTCACCGAAGAGAGAAGAACATCCAGGACGGGAGCGGGTTTCGTAAAGGATCTGCGGTTTCCGATTCTAGGGCTTAGGGGCTTTCCTGAATGGTTGACTTGAAGCGGGTTGCTGAAGCCGGGTTTCGAAACCGGAAGTTCAGAGTTGAGTTGCTTCTAGGAAGACATAGCGTGTCTGCAGGCCTCTTCTTCGGAAGCAGAGGCTTTCAAAGCCGTGGGCTTGGCTCGGCTGCGCGGCTGTTGCCTTTGATAGACCCCAGCAAACGACGCCCAGTGACCATGGCCCGCAAGAAATCGCTGCGAGGTCGTTGTCAGCTGCCGCGGTGCTGAGCCAGGGGAAGCCTCGGCGAGCGGGGTACCGAGAGCCTTCGAAGAGAAAAAGCTGAGAACTTTGAGAGCGCAATGACCTCGAGCCCAGGCTGCGGACGCCCATGTCCACCACGCTGAAGGCTGGTTTTTCGACAGGAATTGCAGGGAAGCTTTCCCAGTGCTCATGGTTGCAGGAGCCGATGGCAGCCTGCATGGTGAAGGCGTTGCAGATGCCACGAGCAGGCCTTCAGGCTTCACTTGGAAGTCTTACTGGGTTGTCAGTTGTTGACTCAAGTCCTTAAGAGACCAATGTACTGTAGCGCTCGGCTCTGCATTCTTCCACCTCGCATGCGGGTTCACCGCACGACAGCGTATTGAAATGCTGCTCGATTGTACTACACATTAGTCCGAATCTAGGCTTGGTCGACATGTCCCGGGGCAGTTTGAAGGGAGCAGCTGAGTTGCGGACCAAAGCACAAGCTTCATTTTCGGAGCATCCCAACCGCCCGAAATTTGGCAGGGAGTCCAAGTAAGTTCTATGACTCTATGATCTGTGCTATCAAAGAAAAGAAGAGGAAGCAGAGCGCAGCAGCCACATGCAGGAGGCCTAGCAAAGAAGCAGACGGCGGATATGCGGCCTTCAAGGCCTGGATAGAGCACAGGAAGCCGGTACTCCTGTCTGAGCCTGCTCTCCACATGGACTGCATGACACCGTTTGGTTTAGTAGGGTCCTGCGGTATTCGACGGAGGCTCGTTTTGACAAGCAGTATGCGCAGCAGCAGCGGATCAGCTGCACCTTGGATGGAATTGATGGAATTGGCTTATCCACGCAAGTCTCAATCTGGTTTTGCTGCCAGGGTCTTGAAAAGCTGAATGGAAAATCTCGTGCATGACAGTTCATAGTAATTCCAGCGTGCGTGGCAAGGATGCGACGAAAACAGAATGGCTTGGCAAAGAGAAAGATACTGAACTTTACATTTCTACGATTCTATTGTCCCTCGAAAGCGTTTTTGAAGCATCAGGCCTGGCGCTGAACCGCCGGCAGCGAGTGGTTGCAGAGACCCTCCAGGTGAAATTCAGCTGGTGACGGAGAGAAGCGGGGGGGCTATTTGGTCAGGAGGGCTTCTTGTCGGGCTCAGCAGCTTCAGGTCTCACAGGTCTCAAACTCTGCGGTGAAGCCGACGAGGCGGCGCGGGACTCCTGGGAGCCGGACAATCGCCTGGCTGCTGCGGCCGCTGCAGAGGCGGAGGCCGAAACGACGAAGAAGCGCAGACTCTCAGAAAAAAGGGCAGAACCCGCAGCCAGGAGATCGCCAGACTCTTCCGAACGCCGGCAGCGCAGATGGCCAGCCACGGCCTGAATGTCTTCCGGAATTCTAACTCGCGAACCGACCGATTTCCCACGGTGACTTCGTAGGAATTCGTAGGAACGATCAGTGACCTCGAGAGTTTGGGTTGGCCGAGTTGAGGTGCAGAAGTGCTTGCCAAGGCTGCTCGGATCTCGCCCGCCCCAGGGTCATGGAGTCCCCGGAGGAGCCGGAGGCCTTAAGGGCCGGCATGTTCAAGCTCCTTCACTAAAGTCGCATCTCGTCACTCTTAAAGCTGCCAGCCTCCCCCCTTCCCTCAGTGGTGATTCCTGGAAGGCACCTCAGGATGTCCGCTCCTGGGCAGAGTCGGCCCGGCAGAGTCCTAGCTGGCTGGGTTTTGAAGTATGCTGACAAGGAGGATGGGCGCCGGTACTGAAGATGATGCTGATTGTGATGATCATGTTGATGATGGCGCTTGAGATGATGTTGATGATGGTGAGAGGTCGGTGATGATCCTGGTCCTCCTCATACTGCTGCCCCTCTGCCAGGCAACAGGCCCGCGTCCGGGCTTTGGCCGAGCCTCGGCCCCTGCCCCAACAGCCCGAGCCACCGCCAGCGCCGTCGAGGCTACCCGCTTGAGGGGACATGTGTGGTTTCGGGACCGAGTCAGCAGATTGCTTTTGAAAGCACTTCGGAGGAACGTGGCCTGAGTAGCCTAGAGATGGAGTTTGCTACTGCGTCTGCAGCCGAAGCAAATGGTTTGGCTTTCTGCACGTTCGCATCGGGAATGCTGTGGGCCGAAGAGCTGTGCAGCCTCATGCTCTGGTCTGCCACAACACCTAGTAGCAAAATCACGAAAAGGCTCCTGCGTGTAGTCGAGGAGTGCGGCCGAGCAGCAGCGGCACTGTGCAGAGCTCTCACAGCCCAGGGCGGGGCCTCTCGAGCCCTTGCCAGGCGAGCGTGGTGTTGCGTGTTGCGAAAGCAAAGCGAGCAGCTGAATCTCTCACCGTTTCCAGCAGGAACTGCGAGCTGGCGAGCCGGCGCTGCATGTGTTAATACGGCAACTTGAACAGGGCAGGCGACGATATTTCTCATGCAAGCGGTGATTCGGAGTCTGTGTGCTACCAATAGCAACGCAAGACGCCTCCGCTGCGATCAATGACTGCTCCATTTCAGGGTGGCTAAAGTCAGAAATGTTTCCAGCCCCCGGGCGCCCCTGCGCCAGGAGGAGCTCGCCTCACGCGCCGCTGCCATGGTGCCGGAAGAGGTGCAGGCACAGCCCCAAAGCTTCAGCCATCCGGCTCCCTGTCATCTCCCTTCAGGATAGCTGGCAAAGAGGGTTGCAAATTGTAAGTATGGAAACGGGACTCGGAGGCTGTGGAAGGTACCAACTGCAGCTTTCCATCAGGATGATGCGGGCTGTTCTAAGCAGAGAGAACGGGAAGGAACCATTACGAAGAGCAAGCTTCGCAGCTGCGAGTCGGCAAGTGCCACGTCTCGAGAAGTCCAGTATGAACACGGAAGGCCGAGTTAAACGCCGCCGTAGGTTGAGACCATTCTACATATTTGGACCCCCTATCCTACGCCATGCAAACTGAGGATACAAGCACTATCACCATGCCATTCGAGGCTGCGCGAGCGCTGTTGGCCTCAATGCGTTCACGGCCGCGCTCGGCGCCGCGGAGACGGCCTTCGTCAGCACAGGCCTCGTCCGTGCCGCTGATTTCGAGGAGAGACCTCGGCAAGCTTCAGGCAGCGAAGCCCGACGAAGCTGCCGAGAGCTTAGGATGTCGAATGCAACGAACTTGGATTGCTGCTGGCTTTAGCAGCCGGCTTCAAGGTTTCTAAAGAGTTGAACTCGCTCGTAGGTTTCAATGATTTTTGCGTGTCTGGGTCAGCTGAGCGTTTCCAGCGCCAACACAGCACACACATGCTGACGCATGCTTGTCCTGCCACCGGTGAAGCTCGACCAAGGTTTCCGAGCAGCTGGCGGAGCTGAAATCCATGGCATGCCGGCCGCATGTCCTCCCCGGCGCCTTGCGTTCAGAGTCAAGGGTTAGGGTCGGAAGGTGGAGGGGGACAGGACATTGCTTCTGCTGGGCTTTGTGCTGCAGCTCAGTCCTCTTCGCAAGCTTTTGAGTCTTGCGCTGAGGTTGAAGAAGTCCTGTGGGTCGTGCTTTTGCAGGCCGGAAGGAGTAACATGGAGTGACGGCATCTTCAATGCGAGAGGGGAAGATGCTGCTTAATCCTTGGAAGCGTTCAGGTGCGCAGCTCCAGCCTGCTTCTCAGTTTTTGCAAGTTCATTAGCTTAGACTTGGAGGAAGCAGTCGCTGAGGCGGACTGGGGGCTGCTCTCGAGGAGCGCAGAGTGACACTCTCTGCTCTCTCTGTGTTGAGATAATTAGTGTTTTTGGAGTGAGAGGAGCGGCTCGGCAGCCTCCTCACCGCGCAAGTGGGGCCTGCGCTTCGACCGGCCAGGAGCCCAAGTGGGTCTCCGCATCCGGTGCCCAGTGCCTCCGCAGCTCGGAAATCCTCCGCCTCTTCCGCCAGGTCGCGAAGCGCCTCCTCGGCCCCGGCGAGGCGCGAGAGCAGCGAGGCGTCTGAGAGTTGCCGTCAGCAGTGTCGGCAGGGCCTGCCCCGGCGGCTGCGTGCAGAGCCGGCGCCTAAAAAGTTAAAAGTGTGTGCGTCTGCGTCTGTCTCACGCAGAAACCAGATCAAAGGCCGGTTATGTACGGCTTCAGCCGCCCGAGCAATCAGCCGAGGTTCCCAAAGCTGGCACGGCACCTGGGCTTCCGCGAGTCGGAGGCTGCAGTGACGTTTGACCGGCCCGGTCAGCCGATCGGCCCCTTGGACTTGGCTCTGGACTTGTGTGGGAGGACCCAGAGCCACTGCCAACGTTGTGGCAGCAGGAGGCCACAGCCTGTGAGCTCAAACCAGAGTGCGGAGTGAGCACCGCTGACAGGAGGTGTCTGTACACCTAGCAAAAGTGCGCGAGAGTCGCGACGAGCTGCTGTCCATGGATCTGACAAAGGCAGCACAAAGCTTGACTTTTGGAATGCTCCGCCGATCAGTCTTCCAGCAAATTTTGGCAGTTGCCAGGATGCCATACTTCGGCGAGGGCCTGAGGTCTGCTCCAGGCTCAGGCGAGCTGCCGAAGTGGCGATTGTGCCTCAGGCTGGCAGACCTCAAAGTACGCTGAAACCGGGCGCGATCCTGACTGCGGTGGCTCGGCTTGTGGATCAAGCTGTGTCCAGAAGCCGTGCTGAGTCCGAAGCAGATGCTGAGTGTGAATTGAAGTGCAGCTTTGCCTGCGCGGACTCTTTCGCAAGTCCTGACACCTTTTGACTGCAATACAACCTGCTGTGCAAGTAGGCACATGTTGCATTAAATTGATTGCTGATTATGCCGTTACACTCGCAGCCTCCATCCGCGACATTTCCAAATCTGCGACAGGCACTTCAAGACCCTGTCCTTGGCTTAAGGCTACTCCATGCTGAGTTTACAGCGTTCCTGGATTTAACTGTGTCCATGCAATGCAAGGGGTGGGAAAAGGCCACAAGAGCCACGCATTTCAGCCAAGTCTCACTGCAGCCAACAGGTTGTGCATGCCTCAATTCGATGCTGGCGAGGGCACTGGCCCGCTGGATGCCCACCCTGAAGGGGATCTCGGCACGTCTGACCGCAATGGCAGAAAATTTCAGCAGAGGGAGTGCCAGGGTCAGTGCAGCAATAAGTGGAAGTCAAGGACAGGCCAACTGCACGCCGCAGGCCTGCAGAGTCCGTCCTCTCGGCAGTGAGCACAAGCTTCTTGGCCACAGAGACGAAGGTTTTGCGGGTTCAAAGAGCACGACAGTTGCATGCAATCTTCGCTCCGAAGGATGCATCACGAATGAGACAGCTAGCAAATCTAGCAAACGCTGGAGGCTTCGTACCGTCCCTCCCTCCGGGGCAGCTCAAGCTCACGGCGTCTGGAGCTCATTCAAGTCAAGTCAGAAAATCTCGAATGCTCAACTGGGTCACTGGGTAGTATCAAGCAGCATCGCAAGTGTATCAGTCATTGGCCGCCCAGTGTCCGATACTCCGGCTCAAACTGACAAACTGAGCTGAGAGACACCTCAATGAGGGACTCTGTTCATCGCGGGGCACCGCATACAACAGCATGCAGCATAGTAAATGTAAAGCTCTGCTGCAGAAAAACCGCCAATGGCCGGCCTTCTGGAGGAGAATTGCAGCGCCTGTGCCTGGTGCGGCTGGTGCGAGCTGCCCCCTGCTCTTCTCTCCTCTGCTCCTTCGGCAGCAAGTCGAAGCTGTGTGCCAGCATCTTATGCGCACTTGGATACGGAAGAGGTCTTCCTCCACCTCGACGTCGCTGCCCTCTGCGCAGCTGCGGCAACGGCGGCTCCCTGGAATTGCGCTGCGCTGCCCGAGGCAAGGCTATGAAGCTTGTGAGATAACTTTTCTATAGCTTAGGGCTCAGGAGCCATGCATGGGAAATGCCTCACCGATCAGGTTTGGGAGTCCGCATTGCTCTCACCCCAGGCAGACGTCTCGGGCAAGCCGACGCGGGGATGCTTGTGACATGTTGTGTCGCGGCGAGCCCTGGTTCGGCCTCAGGTGCCGCCAGAGGAGCCAGGCACATACACAACAGTCTTCACCAGAGAAGGCGGAATGGAGACCGAGATGTGAGCGGATGAACTTAATAATCAAGTCTTGCAGTGCATTCATGGTCACCATGATTTTGGCAACCTGGCACGAACTTCGCCACATCTTGTCTGTTGTTTTGCTTGTGTTTTTGCATGGCTCCTGGCCGCAGGCCTCCAAGCTGCACAAATTCCGCCAGGCTTTGATACGAGGCTATCCGGGTGGCAGCAGGACTCAACTCAACAGAGTTCTCTTGGCTTTCGCTTCTTTGACCCACTGCGCTACAGCGAGGACTCAGCTCTGCAATGCCTGGTGTCCAAATACTCGCCCAGGGCACTGGCGCATTTCGTTCGGAGGCGTAGAGAGGTAGAGTAGTCAGCAGAGTATAGGCACCATTGTGAGCTCATCGGTTCCATCGGTTGGTCTTACGCAGGTTCCACAGTGGTGTCGAGGCGGAGGCTTTGCGCTTGGATCGATCCTGTGCGCATTTGGCACTCGAGGCAGATTGTGGATCATCATTATTTCTGTCACCGCCTGTCGTTTGTTTCCCACCCCGTCCCCTCAAGGAGGTGCCATGCCCTGAACACTCCATCAATCCCGCACTTCCCTCACCCGACTTCCTCCAAAATTGTAGCGACGGCGGGTGTGGCAGAGCTGTTTCGGGTTTAGGGCTTAGCCTTTAGCGCAGAGATGCTCTCGTGTAGATTCCTGCTGAATCCAGCTGTATGGCTTGGTCAGGGCATGTCGACCCCATCATATAATCCAAGACTTTGGCGCCATTTGGCTTCGTGCTCCAAGCGTCTAGAGGCGTAAAAGGCATCTCGTGCTCCTCAGCCAATATGTGGAGTTGTCGGTCTTGCAAAACACAATAACCCATGTCAGAGTGTGCAGACATAAATACAGCTGTGACCATTCGTGGAGGTTTCCTACATGTTCGAGACTTGGATACCTGTTGGATGACCTTGTACTTGGCTTGTTGAGTACTTGTTGCAAAGCGGGTGTTGCGTGTCTTGCCTTTTTACTCATACTTGCTGGAACCGGCTTTCAGATAATCTGCCGATGACTCTGCCCTACTTGGCATCCGACATGGAGTGCAAGGTGCTGAACTTTTTTCCAGATCCCGTCTGGGCGGCCATCTGCCTCACCGACGATCCCGCTACTCTGTTTGCAAGTACCGGCTTGGGGCTAGAGATGGTCTTATGCTGAGAGTTTCCTTTAACCGTGGTTACGGTTGAGGTGGGGAGTGGACGTGTGCCTTCAGCTGTAGGCCTCTGCCCAGCCAGGCAATACGACTTTTGAGGCACGGCGACGCAGAGAAAGCCGCATGTTGCTGCCACATTTCTGGCATGAAGTCGGCAGGCACAGAATCAGCGCACTCGAAGAACCTGCAACAGATTCAATATCTGGATCTCCTAGCGTGCGAGTTCGAGCAACAGAGGAACAGAACATCACGGTTGATTGTGCACGCAGCCATGCAGTGGGGTCCGCGAGTTGGAAGCTCCTCAATTTCCTCGGGACAGCGATTGAGACTTCGGTCTTCGGTAACAACGCCCCAGCATAAAGGATTGATGCGATGTGTGTGATGTGATGTATATCCATCATCGAGATCATCCGTTGAGCTGCAGCAGTAGCGAGTTCGACAGTGGCGACAAACCTGGGTAGAATCGAGTCAGGAGCGTGGATCGGAGGACGGGGGAATCGAGAAACGTGTGCAATCTTGCCTCGAGAGGCACGAAGGACAACTGAAGCAGGGAGAGACAAGAGATACGGCGTATGGGGCCGGTAGCCGGTGGCGTCTATGCTGGATGCAAAAATGCGATAGCATGCTGCAGATGCGCGTGATGCGCCACCGGGACAGTTTTGAAGCTCAAAAGAGCAGCGTGGGTGCTCATGTCGTCATGAACACCCCCTGCTAAAGCTTTCTGGAAGCAAGGGCCTGCAAGGGTTGCAGGGCCTGGGCCAGCTTGTGTGAGGACGCTGAACTTACAAGTAGCTGAAAGATTCCCTAGGGCCCTAGGCCGATGCGCTGGAGGGCAACCTGAACCAGGCCACAGTCTGCCTCCGTGGCTTTCGCCACACGACCAGCTGTCTGGATGCCAGAGCCTCACCTCTTAGTGCTGTCTGGCTTCAGCAAAGGCATGTCAAGATGAGAGAGAAGTTGCTGCCTAAACCCTGTAGCAAAAGAGGAGCCTGGGCTCTCGAAAGCTGGAAGCCTGGTTGTCTGCACTCTCTTCTTGGGCGGCAGCTCCGTGGACCTCATCCGCTGCCCGGGCTTCAGCCGCATGGAGGTGGGAGAGCGCCTTCGTCTTTCACCAGATGCAAAGTCTTTCCAGCTCCACAAAGATTGGTCCTTCCCGGCTTTGCTGGCCGAGGCACCTGCTGAGGGGAAGCTATGTTGGCGATCCGATGCTCCGCTTTGTGCTTGCATCGTCCTTGTCTGCAGCAGCCTTGGAAGGAAGCGAGACAAAAATCAGGGCACACTACCCGCTGACTCCGTCTGATCAGGTCGGTTGTGCGAAGTTGGAAAGCTTGCTGGACTTGACCAGCCGCGGGGACACTGGTCCTGAGGTGGGAAAGATGCTCACGCAGATTGCAGGCTGCAAGATCAATCCGTGAGCCAGGTGCTCATCCCGACCACGCGCGGAAGCCACTATGCCATGGAGCCGTGGCAGTGGGAGGTCTGGGCAACATGCTCCTGTCACAGCTCGGCTGCTCACGTCTGAGAAGATCTGACAGAAATGTGTTTGGCTGGAGCTGCTGCTGCTATGAGCTGCTTTGCTGCCAGGAGCGCGGAGCGCCGATGGATGGCGCTGGCCACGAGCTTCAGATAGCAGAGGAAGGCGGGCGGCTGCAGGACATCTTTTTCCCTCATTGGGGCTGAGAGATGCAAAAGACGTAAGCCGCTCCAGCTGCTGGTCACGGAGGCGAAGGCCCAGCAGCGATCTGGTTGGACGCCGGAGTTCTGGACCCTTCGGAGGCAGAGTCGCAGATGCTGCGCAATTGCATCTCACTGCAGTTTCTGCCTTCTCGTGCGAGGCGCTGGAAGTCAATTTCCGCAACATCTTGTACCGGGGAACCATCGGGCTTTTCGCATAGCAGGAGGGCATCCACGTGGATTTCGTCAAGCCGACCACGCAATCGTAAACATGCAAGAACTTGCATGGCTTTTGGTGGAAAGAGTGTTTGGCAAGGACACGTCTGTGTCCCTTACAGGGCCGTCCCCAGCGAGCCTGGAGAACCCAACCTTTGTGAAGAGAGCAAATCTGCGAGTGGAGCCTGACGAGACCAATGTCCCGTCATACCTGGTTCGTTAAGTGCAGAACAGAAGCCCCGCGCGAAGTGCGTTGGTCTGGGACTTTCTTTCAAATTGGGGTAGCAGATGCCTGAGATGAAACTACCAGCATGTGCAAGGACATCGGCTGGAGGTGGGCAAAGACCACACGAAAGGCGAACCTAAAATGGACGTCGAAGCTCGGCCGACAGAGTAGATACCCCTGACTTCTCGACGAGCTGGTGCCAAGTCTCTGCAACGCATGAAAGTTCATGAAAGCCTCGGAGCCGACCTGGCGAGCGGGAAGTTGACCAAGGGGAGCTTTTCCAGACTGCTGCCCGCGGGCCTTCTCACGAAGCCACTACTTCATGCTTCGACCCTGCCGTCTCGGACGCGGTATCGCCTCGGACAAAGCACCAGAATGGTATCTCAGCCAGGACACGGCATTGACGGCTAGTGCAACGCGCCAACAAGTAGACTAGGAAGAGATGCACACCGCAAGTTGAGGTGTCCACTTAATTCGCTTGGCGACCGTTTTCCCGAGCTGCATCTCGGATTTGGACAACCAGTCCACAAACCCTGGTGTGTTTGGCAATGTGAGTTTGATAAGCCTGACTCACGCACCTGCAACAAGCCGTATCCGACCAAAGCGAACTTGCTGTCGGTTTGATTCGTCGCCGCAGCTCCGAGAGTTCCGATGTGCTTCAGAGCATTGCCCAGAGCCACGCAGCGTCAGCGCCGAGCTTTTCTTAAGCTCGCAAGCCACGTGCACCAAGGGAAGAGTCGACAGCAGACAAACCGGTCGAGGCACGCTTTCAGGGTTGGGCAGTGGAAGGGCTTGCACCTGAGCTTAGCACCGGAAGTGCTGGGAGGAGCCGAGGGCGAAGAGCACAGTGAAAAAGTCACAGTCCCAGGAGCCTCGACAGCATCAGCATCTTGCATCTTTGGTCAAGCCGGCTTGCCGGTATCAACATGTCAACGCATCTCTCAGCAGTGGCATGTAGGGTCTCGGCGCCCGAGCCAGCCTAAGTGCCATGACGCACTTCTGAAAGAAGAAAAGCCGCACCTAGAAAAAACAAAACCACCGCCGCCTTTGCGAGTGTGTGGGTGTGTGAGATGATAGTCAATGATATGTCAATGATAGTACTAATTGACCTTGTGCCATGTGTGGTACCCACACACACACACACGCGCTCTGAGTCGTTGGAGCTCCAGTTAGCCCTACCACCGTTCAAGAGCTGAGGTTAGCGAGGCCCTTCAGCCACCTTCCTTCAGCCGGCGCAGACCTACGCTGCGACCTTGGCACCTCTTACTTGACACCATTCTCACTAGCGATGCTGAGATGCGCAGTCTGCGAATGTAGTCCAGTGCTCTGGAAACGAGAACCCAGGCCTGGCGAAACTGCTGTCGCCTTCCTTCCGTATGCTGCAGATGCCTTACAGTGGCTGTGTAGCCAAGTGGATCGAATCTTCGCGCGGACAAGGCCAGTGAGGTTTCGTCACTGCAGAGCGGCTGGAGGCACTGCAAAGAATCTGCAGATTCCAAGTGCTTGGGTGGGGCATGTTGGGGCAGCACTGGCAGGCAAGACTACTGGACGGAGCCTAGTCCGCTCTTTACGCAGGGCCTACTGTCCCAGGCAGCTGAAGATTTTGGGGTTAGGGGTGAGGGTCGCGTGCGTTCGGATCCCGGAAGCCCCCTGCCAGGACGTCAGATATGCGACAGAATGTTCGCCGTGCAAGTGTGTATTGACCTCGGATGCAGACTCCCTGCCTACGTTCCTTGAACGTCCAGCGACTGCATCGTCCCCTTCTGAATTGAATTGTCATTGTGATCATGATGAGGTTGTCAAGGAGGCAGCACTTCCGCCCTCTGGAGACAGGCAAAACGCGCAGGCCAGGGGCTGAAGACTGCTGGGATTGCAACTGGGGAGTATGCACTAAGACATGAAGTCACCGGCGGCTGCCGTGCAGCGAGGAATTGCAACAGCAGCAGCGCCTTCGATGGCTGGACTCCCTGATCAAGCAGGAAGAGGAGGAGCGGCTGCAGATCCAGAGCTCTGTTGCACCTTTCTGCTTGTGCAGGGCCTTCCTTTCCAGCGACACTCCATGTCCAAGGCTCGGAGAGCCAATCTGAGCCGTCTTTTGCTGCCTGGCTTGGCAGGTGAATGCCCGTGTCTTTCCAGAGAAGTTGCTCAACCAGCACCCGTGGTCACACAAGTGGCTCCCAGTCGCGGGCTTGAAAACCGGGGAACATGCCTTTTCTTTGGCTTAAGAAGCCATCTGCCCCACAAGACTCTGAATATGCGGTGGCTGTGAAGACTCATGCTGCAAAGCGCCCTCAGTAAGTCAAGTGCATCTGGTGTCAGTGAATGCCTCTCCTGAAGGGAGTCAGAGCTCAAGGGAACACCGTCAACTGAGCAGAAGCACAAAAGGGCTTTGCGGCTGCTGCTGCGGTGAATTGCATCCTTTTACCGTCTGCAGCCAAGGGCCGAGACTGCGCTCAATTGCAGCCTCTTGTGAAGGCCACGGAGAGCTTGGGCTTGGAGTTTGGAGAGATTGGAGAGCGGTTGGAACTCGTGTTCGGGCCCACTTCAGGGACGAATGGGACGAGCACAAGTAGACCGAGTCATATTGCCTGCAACACCTGTTGTATTGGGGAGGCGAAGGAGCGAGCCGCTGCGACGTGACCGGAGCCGATCCACGGAGGAGTGTCCAAGGTTTGATTAAGTTCAGGGAAACTCAGCGTCGCACCTGTGCATTCAGGGCCATTTACCAAGGCAACGTCAAATCAAGCTTGGGAGATTCAACACGACTCGTCAAGCGAATCGTGCGTGGCGTCTCACTCAACTGGAAAACGAGCATCATGGTGCTGTCTTGCAGTCTTGCAAGTGTTTGTTCATTCAAGTGACGCTAAGCTTTAAGCAAGTCGCCGAAGCCTGCTGGATGACAAATTCACGCATTCAACGGCTTCACTGGATCTACGATCGCGTTGCTTTGCTTGCAGCTGTACCGCTGACATGCCAGAGCCCGGAGCCTACAAGCTTGCTCCTCACTACATTCCAGCCTTTCTTTCTGACCAGCTGTATGAATCGAGGATGGCCCCGCTAGTTTCAACTCTTGGTTTTCCTCCGCACTAAAGATGAGCTAGACATTCAAGAAGTCCTCATTCTGCATCGGAATTCACCCAGCAGCAGCTCCTGCAATGGATGATTCCAATGGCTGGGCTACGGGCACCAGCGCCTGGGTCTCGGCCGTGCCCACCACTTCTGTGAGCTTGACCGGGTTGAGGGATTCAAGCCAAGGCCTGCGGTCTGATCTTCGGGGGTTCTTGGGGTGGGGGTGAGGGGGGGGGGGGGGGGGAGCCAGAAGCTTTGGCTTGTTGGAGCCCTCCTGGGACCACCGGCTTTCACTGGAAACCCTTCTTGGACCTTCCGGCAGTGGACATGACATTACCAGGCTCTGCGGGCTCTGTGTTCTGTGGCTCTTCCAGGCCGCGGTTCTGGAGCCACCGATTTATCTCTGGATGGGTTCTCCTTCAGCTGGCATGTCACATGTCTTGAAGCAGCACACGTAGGCATGATGCAGGTGCAAAAAAGGTTGCCAGGGGGATGAAATGAGGTACTGTCCACCCAGTGCGACACCTATGCTCCTTGACCTGAGACAGGCCACTGCAGACAGCGATCCCTGTGCCGGGCAGGAGTGGGAGCAGGCCATGACCGCTGCCAGGTTTCTGGCGGCATGGGATTCTTCAAACATGTGCAAATGGTGCATCTAGGTTACCGCGTTTCGAACAGGGGGAGGCGAGTGACCATACCAGCATACGCAGCACTCGATCCCATTGACTTGTGCCCGCGGACGGGCAAGCGGATGCCTTCTGCGTCTCCACTTGACTCTGAAGGTGAGGCAACTACTGTGGGTCGGGTGCTCAGGTCGGCTTGTGTTGGCTTGCGGCGACTCTCAGTCGAGTCAGCCAAGGGCCAACAATCAGTGTCGAGTAGTTTGGTGTTTGGGTTTCGCGCTTTGCGTTCTCTTTTCTCAGGCAATTCGGACAACAAGAGAAACGTCGTGAGTGTGTGAGGTTGTGGCCGGTGATGGACGAGATGGGCACATAAGGCTCCGGTCTTTGAAGGAATCTCAGCTCGGCGCTTGGCTTTCGCTCGGCCCAGCTGCGGTGCCGCGTTCTCGCAGATGTTCTTTGCTTGAGAGTGACTGGGGATTTCTGAGCTGCACGCTCCCCGCAGACCCGTTCCCCCAAGGCCACTGCCACCGATGCGACCCTCCGCCTGCGTGCACGGTGCCTTTCGCCTCCAGCTCCAGCTTTCTTGGATGTGGTTTCGGAGATTTTCGGGTGCTACGACTGCCATTCCCGGAGCAATCTCGCGGCGCAGGTGCGGTCTGTCTACATCTTCTCCACATGCTGCGAACGGAGCGCGAGGCGCTCGCGGGAAGTGTTACGAAAGCTCCTCTCCAGGAGCTTGAGAAAAATAGAGGCGCCCACCCCCTTGAGAGTGGCTCGCGACGGTATCTCTCCTGGTGCTGATGCTGGCTAACACATTCGCAGAACCGCCTATGATCCCAAGCCTGAGCATGACAATAAGGCCGCTGGCTGGAGAGGAGTGGAGAGAAAAGCTGCCGACGGGAGGTAGCGCCGAGTACTGCTGCGGCTAATGTTACAACTGCACCATCCTGCATTCTCTGCTTGTTGAGCTTTCGTCCCCCCTCTCTCCGCATGTTCTTGTGATGTTTTTTGTTTTCCGCATCTGTCCGTATGGTTTTTCGTGTGTGTGAGTGCAGGAGCGCATCCGCGAGCTCTCGGGGATTGGTGGCGAGGTCGTTACTGTGCTGATGGACGGTCCCTTTTCCAAGGCCGCAGACGCATTGAGATGGCGACAAAATGGGTGAGAGTTGCGACTGCTTGCTGTGGGAACTCTGACACACGCCAGATTGGAGCCAGCCGCTGGCCGCTCTTCGCACTGCTGCACCTTGCACAGGCCAGGCTGAGCTGCTTCTAAAATGCTTGCATACCCCCAAAAAAAACAAAGAGCGCTCACCCGCATCTGCTGTCAGGTTCAGCTGGAAGGGGAGGAGGCTCGAACACGTGTTGAGACAAACCCGTTGTCATGTATGTTCGTTTTCGAACTCACCGGCAGGCGCTCTCATCAGATGCTGCTGCTCAGCGTGGTGCCCCGAGCTTGCAGCAATCCATTGCTTGGGCATCGGGCTGGGCTGCAACCACCCAGGACGATGGCAGCCCCTCGTTACCGATGACCATGTCCGCTTCCGCAATTGGGCCGCGGGCTGAGTCTGGCTGGTGTGGCTTGCACTTAGATTTGATGACTTCGGTCCGAAGCCGCAGAGGTTCACGGTCACCTAGTACATGGCCAGACGCCGCCCTTGGTGGCTCAGTCCTCAGGATCAGAGAATTCCGCTGAAAGCGTTCTCGCCCCACGGCTCCTTGCTTCAGACTCCGCCTCCACTGAGCCTTCGTCCATGTGGAGAGGACTCGGTGCACTTCCTGGCCCGTGCAGACCCACGGGAGCCGGCGCAGCCTAGCAGCCTGTGCTCTGCGGCGAAAGTGCCTACCCCAGCAATGTGGAGGATCCTTATAGTTATAGTTCTTACGTGCAGAACTCCAGGCTTTCTCAAACCCCCACGGGAGAAGCTGTGTCGAATCTGTTGGGCTGCGTTTGCCGCTGCCGCCCTGCCAAATTCTGCTGCTTCAGGCCGTCGGTTACCTGGCTTCTGCTTTGGTCTTGGCTCAAGAAAAGGACGAGCAGATCCGAAAAGAGGCTCGATGTTGTTCTGTGTCCAAAGATAGCTTCAGAAAGCCGCGGATGGCCGCAGGCCGAGCATCTTGTCGTGTCTGTGTCTGGGCCGCACTGGTGAGGCTCAGCCCAAGGCTCCTGGCAGCTTCATCTCGCTTCCAGGCCGAAGGTCACATCAAGCACTGCGAGAACCTGGAGCCCGAGAGCTTCAACCTTCTTGCGCTGCTCCGAACAGAGTGCCAGACTCGAATTTCCGTGAGGCCAGGCCGACTGACCCAAAACTTCGCTAAAATCCGAGGTGGCCCATCTGGTGGCTTTTGCATTCCGTCTTGTCGCACCTCTTCCCCTGGCAGGCTGGAGCCCGTTGGACATCTCCATATCAACATGCTTGCGCTACGTAGGGCTTCGAAACCTGAAGGCTACCGCGCGACCTGCTGCAGCCAGCCCTCCGCTCGCATCGGAGACGCCGCACTGGCTTTCGCTTCTCTGCGCATGTTGACCACGGGCAGCAAGTGCTCGTATTTCGCACCTTAGACCACCGATATAAGGGCGTCAAAGTTGTTCTGATGTCCTCCTCGCACCCTCAGAAGCTCGTGGGGCCTCGGATGCCAGGTTGCCACCGAAGGTAGAGGCAACAGTTCGGGATGTGCGACAGCCAGGTGCCACGGCAGCAGGGTCACGGAGTCTAGTCCAGTGAGTCTAGTCTCAGAGATGAGCAGGTGGGAAAGCTTCAGCAGGGCTGACTTCCCCAGGACCAGCGGAGATGTCCGCAAGTTCGAGAGAAACGCCGCCTGGCTCTCGTTGCACTGCAGAAGTTCGCTGGGAACACTGCAAAGCAAGTGGTGATTGATTGAAGGCAGTGTGCGGGCCTTGAGAATAGGCCGCCGAGCCTGTGCTCACTTCCGAAGGCCTGTGGGGCACGAGCAACAGCAAGAATCGGGATCAAGCTGCTTTGTGTCGACCAGGCCGTGTTTGTGCAATACGATGGGGGCGTGTACCTCGTGGACACCCCACAGCTCGAGAAGCAAGGCCATTGGAAAGCTTGAATCCAGCAGGATTATCCAACGGTGAAGTTTGTTGAATAAGTGGAGAGCAGCCAACCCTCCAGGGCCACACAGGTTAGTATAGGAGTGCTGTTAAACTCGTAAACTTAAACGCTACTACTAATTCACTAACATGGGAGCCTCTATAGTCATTTTCTGATGATAAGGACGCCTTCTGCACCCTCTACTTTGCGGAACCACCCGCCTCCTTCCCAGAATGTGGCTTCTCCTGAACAGAAGCGCCCCACGCCATTTATGTGATCCTAAAACCCTAAACCCTAAGACCCCGAAGAACTTCAAGAACACCCTCCACTCTCAACCCGTCCACCCCTCCACCCTCACTGCACCCTACTGCCCTACACCCCCACCTCCACACCACGCCACTCTATCTACTCCACTCAATCTCAAACTGTGGGTTGCACAATGCGTTGAAAAGCTATACAGGTTGTCGCGAAGCCTCCAGGTCCAAATTCCTATCAAATTAATGTATCCCCCCGAGCAACTTCAAGGGTTTAGGCCTGACTTGAACCCCTTCAGCAGCCTATACCCCCACCCACAAGAGATCCGAAGCCACCCAGAACGTTTCCTCCAAGCCTTAAAAAAAGACGAGCTCCATCCTCGAATATTGCTGACACCCGAAACCCTGAAAACGTTTAGTCCTACAGCCGCAGCAACCCTGATAACGCCCCAAACCCCAGCTCAGGTTCTATCTAATTACGTGGGAGGCAAAATCTATCTATCTAGTTGACAGCCCGGCATGGAGGGGTGGAGGGGTGGAGTGGAGTGGAGGTTGGCGGGGTGGAGGGGGTGGAGGGGGATCCGCTTATTTAAAATCGGCTTGGCGGCCCGCCAACGGAGTAGTAGAACAATATTTGTTTAGGTAGTTAGGGTTAAAACTCCGCATATTTAAGATGGTCACCGAACTTTCCAATTTGGGTCCTTGTAGGTAAGACTTTACGGGAAGGGCGAAGGAATGAGCAGTTTCATCATTCGGCAGGCATGCCCAGCGCATCGCTGATGCAGCCTGGTTAAAAGTTGAGCCGCGAGTACATGGAAGATCTCGATGCTTTGTGCCAGTGTCCTCTGATAAAAGTAAGCAGCTTTGTTCAGAAGATGCAGCTTTGCTGGTCTTGGTGCCCCAGGTCTGATCAACCTCGCATCCGCCACAGCCTTGCCCTCCCCAGGCAGCTCTTCAGGAACGGCCGCCCGCTTCGACGTCGAGCAGCTGCTGCAGCTCTGTGTGAGGCCGATGGAAACCCCGCTCCTTGTTCACCACGCTTTCGGACATGCTTCCAACGAATTGGCATGCGGACTCGCTGCTCCTTGTATTGTTGGTGGAGTTTAAGTTGACTTCTGAGCCAAACCCGCAAGCAACGTTCGGAAACGGGATGAGAAAACTTGCTTCGATTGTGGTCGTGGGGGGTTTAGCTTGTGCTTATAAAACCGCGTAAGTGACACAGACAGGACACAGGGCTCATAAAAACAAAAAGCGGACCCTCTGTAAAGAGCGTCTTAAAGTGGAAGCCCCTTGGCCAGGCCCCGGGGGCGGGAGGACGCTCTCAGGAGGCAGCCTCTCTGCACTCGGGTTTTTGCTCATGTTCGGCCAAAGCCTGGGCTTCTTCTGGAAGGGTTTCTTGGGCACAGCTCCCAAGCCTCCTTTCAAGGGATGCAGTCTGATGCCGGAGCATTCGGTGATTCGCTGCTGATCGTGCCTTGTGCCGGGAATTTAGAACAGCTATTGTGCAGAACCGTCTTGGCAATCTTTGACCAGGCGGGGGGGAGCCAGACTGCCAAGCAATCTTGCTCCCCCCCCTTGCCCCACCCGCCCCACTTGCTTGCCGACTAGTGTACACTTGTGGAGACCAAGATTGCAAGATTGCTTGGCAATCTGGGTAGCAATCTTGGTCAAAAAGGTAAACTAGTCGGTGAGAACTAGTCGGTGAGTCCAAGATTGCAAGATTGCGTGGCAATCTTGCCCAAATAGCTGTTCCAAATTCCCGGCACGCTGTGATAGTGAGATCTTGAGCTTCGAAGTCGACGGGAGGATGTTGCTGGCTTTTCGGAGTCGCGCCTCTTCGGCCGGCGCCTTCTGGCGGTGCAGGCATGGACTTGACAAAGGGCCCCACCAGGGTGGTTCCAGGCCCGTAGGAAAAGATGGTCATACCAACTCCGTCGTCTCTCTTTTGTGGGGGTCGTGGGGGGAAGGGGGGAGAATGGGGATTGACATGATGTCGTGTTGCGCGTTCAGTTTCATTGCACTAGCGATGCAGAAAGGAGTTCCAGCGCCGCGCCATGGAGTCATGAAGTTGCATGCAGGATCCGGATCTGCAGGGCGCAGCTTATTCGGTGAGGTCCACAGCACACTGAAGAAGAAGACTGGAGTTCTGGTATTTTGTGGAGTTGCGGAGTCACAGCGCCCTTGGCAGAATCCTAAAGCCCATGGACTACGGCTAGGGGAGCATCTCGACGGAGGAGCCAGCGTGCTCTTGCATGCTCTCGCATAGCGGCGCTTGGTGAGGCTAGTTGGGCGCCCCCGAGTGTGGGCCTCTACGTGGAGGCCGTGGTTGAGTTTTCTGCGCTTGCCGTCGGCCAATTTTGTCCATACTCACGAGCCTACTAGCTTTCTCAACGGCTCACTCTCCTTCAGAAGTCTGCTTGAGCAGGAAACGTCTGCGAGCGATCCCTACAATGCAGGGCCGACAGCGATTTTGGTTGCTGCACTGTTTCGATCGCAATAGATGTTGGTGTTGAGGGTAATATGGTGTCGCACCCACCCGCCATGGTTTTGTGGCTTTTCTTGCTGCTTCGTCTTGTTCGAGGCCGAGTGGCTTCAAGCCTACATCACTGCCTTTGGGAGGCAGTTGGGATTTGCAGACGGCCTTCGTACAGAGTTCTGAGAGAGGCTTTGCAACCCATTCTTTGAAAAGGTTGGGCTTGGAGCCCCACGTCATCTCCAATAGCGAGGTCTGCGACCATTCTGACTCAGAGTGTTCAGAGTTCGACGGTTTATGCAAGGTGAGCAGGCCACAGGCCATTGGGACTTTCTCCAGGCGATTTGAGACTTCAAAAGTCGGCCAGGAAGCCCAAGCAGGAGTTCTTTACTTCTGGCGAATCAACCAGATGTTTGGAGGCTGGGCGGGAGAGGAGGTTTGCCAGCAGACCATCCAACGGAGTCATGAACCTGCAAAATCGTCTGATCCGAGTATTGGACCGCAGCCAAGGTGGCAGGCTTGCGGGGGCTCCGGGTGTGGGCCTCGCCGTGGCGCAGCATCTTGGAGCCCTGCACTTGGAAACTCTGAGCACTGCCCCTTGCAAAATGTGTACCTGACACTTGGGGGCTTCGAGCCTTTCTCGATTCGGAGGAGGACGTAAGAGGAGGAGGCGAAAGTTTATTCGCAAGCGGCATATCGACGCTGTGCCGTCACGAGGCGAGCCCAGCTAGGCAGCTAGGCCCGCCTGACCGGTCCGTGGCTCCCGTCGTGGCTGAAATCGACAGTCGCCGAACTCATCGTGAAATCTAAAGATGTGAAAACTTTGGCACTTCTGGATTTAAAGCGTGCTCCCGTGTCGTGTGCGTTTTTTTTCTATTTTGTTGGGTGGGAAATCTGGACGGAAGTCTACTTCCCCACTGCCGTGTTCACGCCGTCCCATTCGGTTCCACCTCCGCCGTGAGAGTGCCGCATGTGTTTTAGCGCGCCAAGCATGCTCCCACCACGTGTGGTGAGCATTCGACCGTTTTTATATATTTGCGGTCTTGGCAGCTCAAGGGTGCTCTTGCGTAAGCAAGCCCTGGCAGCAGTGGACTGCTGCAAGCTACAAGTTGCAAGGTTTCCAGTAAGTGTTCTTTCACTGTCGAGAATGGCAGCTCTGTTGTCTGCAATTCTGCGAGGCCCTCACATCACGGGGTGCGGCACCCTGGCCACGACCAGAGACCATGCAGCTGGAACCTCTGGCTGCTGAATGCTGTGATCCTGTTGGCCTGAAAATCGCAACCAGGCTTTACCAGGACAAGATCGCCCTTCGGGAGCTCTTCGCAAGGCGCGCCCATGATGCTAGAGCAGCTGGCAGTTCCCTCTCCTCCAAGTCGAGCCGCCACCCCCGGATGGCCTTTCAGCCTCTGTGGATCTCCCGGTGTTCTTGGATGTTGAGACTTTCGGAGGTAGCGGTCAGCTAGGGGCTACAAGTTCAAAAGTGAAAATACGGTCACTAGATCCACTTGCACAGTGAAGCTGCACGCGGTTTCAAGAGCACCCTTTCTCTTCCACGGCCTTCGATCGAAGAGTAGCCCTCCGCGTTTCAGGAGTAGGCTGCATCTCTGCGGAAAGCGCACGTCTCGTGGCGCGCCATAATGCGCAGGGTGGGTGTGCCTGCTCCCAAAAGCTGGGTGGTGGCCAGCGTGGCGGACCTGGAGAAGCTTCTGCGCTCCAGCTGCAATTGCAAGCATCCGTCCAGGTCGAAGGTCCCAGTGTCCCACAGACAAAGCCGCAACTCCGGGTTTTCAGGAGTGAGGGCCAGCTGAAGGATGCGGACTTCCCCCTGGTGCTCGCCTCTGCATCAGCAGCTGCATGACGAAGCAAGCGGCAGACATGCGATTTCGCCAAGAGGCCAGGTGAAGCCTAGAAGGCCAGAGTCCAGGCCCAATACGGAGATCCTAGTAAATTCAGCAGTACATACCGGCAGTAGGAGCTGGAGTTGATTACGGTTTCGGGTGGACTCGTGGCATGACATCAGGCGTTCAAGTTCGCTAACATGCAAGCCCAAGGTCCTGAAGCATCCCTACGCCGCATCTAGCCGTGGCATGAGGCACAATCTGCTTGTGCACGTATCCGCGGAAAAGACGATGGAAACAGCCCGGAACGCGTACCGCTATCCAGCACATCGGCAACAAGAACAGCACCTCAACTTCAACACCTCGCCGCTTCGCAGGTCGTGCGCCTCGATGGCCGATGCATCGCGGGTGCTGGCGCAGTGGCTGCAGGAACACCAAGTGCTTGGCCCCCAGGTCGAAGTGCTCTCCTGTCATTCGCGGAGACGCTGACTGCTAAGAGGCCTTGTCTGCTTCAGCGCCGGCTGGCAATCTCTCGCGACATGCGCGTAACCTACGTCCGGCAGCCTGGGTGTCGAATTTGAGGACAGACCGTCAGCCATGGATGAGGGACATCAGCTTCGGCACATGTGGCAGAACTCTTTCAGCAAAGTCATGTGGGTCGTGCCCAGGTCGGTGGCGAAATCATTCAAGGCTACTGGCGGGTGAAGGCCCTCTGATGTCATTTGAGCCACTGCAGAAAAAAGCACAAGAGATCTGTGGCTCGGGTTTCGAAAGAGCGTGGATGTTGTGTCAGAATTTCGAGGTATTCAACCGCCATCATATTGCCAATAATTGCTAGTTCCGGTTCCAGCGAGCTGCTGTGCTTTCCGTTCTGGCTTCGGTGCCAGTTTCTTTTGCCTGGTCCAGCCCTGGCACTGGTGCTTGTCAACTGCATGGGCGACAATCCGCCCCATTTCGAATCAAGCTGGCACTTCAACGCCCTGGCAGGATCAAGCAGACATGCGTGGCAACTGTATGCGGGGCTTCCTGGCACTTCCGAGGCGGATTCCGAAGACCTGAGCAGTGGCTCAGCGGCCGGCTCTCGCCTGGACTTCGCCATTCCAAGGGAAGCGCCGGAGCCTCTTCTTTGTTTTGGGGGGCAAGCCTCGGCAGTCGAAAGCTTCTCCTGGTCAGGATAGCGCCTTTCGTCAGAAGCTTCTCGGAAGCGACAGGCGAGCTGGAAGCTAAGGCAGCTAAGGCTTTCTTAGCAGATGTTTGCTCGCGGGGGGTTATTGCGGGTCCTGGCATGATGCTGTAGATGTCAAGCCATTGTCCTGCGGTCCTGCGACGGCATTCAGTACTTCAGGATGTCTTTGACAAAGTTCTTACGTAGGAAGTCCATCCATTCTGCCGACAGGCATTGACATCGGTGGGATGGACATTGCTTTCCCGGAAGGTTCCGATTCCGAAGGCTTGCATCCGGTCAGATACTGCATTGTGTGGGGTTGTGACAGCCTGGACATGCCACATGTTTGTTGATTCGGCTCTCTTATGATCGCTCTTGTAGAGTTGATCAGAGGTGCAATCAGGTTTATGAGATTCCGCGACCTGTTGCATCAGACATGAGATGCCCCAAGCAGGTCCAGTGGTCTTCGAGGTGTCCCCGATCTTCGACCTGAATCCGGAGCCGCCTGAGGAGAGATGTCGAGTCCTTGAGGCCATGGGCCGGGGCTCTTGGAGTCGAGTCCCGAAAGGAGTGGCGCAGCGTGCCATACCGAGAGTGGCTGCCCTGGAGCTGTCGGAGGGCGGAGTTTTGCAAGAGACAATCCAGGCAGTCCTAGCATGCCTCCTTCTATCAGACTCCTGGATCCGTGGGGGTTTCCAAGCTTGGGCTCGAAGGAATGCAATGACAGAGCCACTGAAGGTACAAGCAGACTGCGGACTACAAAGCCAGGCAGCTGCCGCACATTCAACAGACGTGTAGAACCCGAGAGCATCTGAACTGGCCGCGCCATCTACTTGCAGCCTTCTAGCATGTGTAGCGGCATGTAGCGGGCAGCAAAGCCAAGCCAGGCGTGCCGAGAACTATGCCCAGTGTGCGCAGAAGGCCTCGGGGGGGAGCGGCCGCCATCTTTTGGAGTCCATTCGATCGGATTCCGTTGCTTTTAAATCGTTTCTGGCAAAGTTCCTCTGTGCTCTTCAGATTTTGTGAAGTCTGCTGGTGACCCCAGCTCAGCCTGTCGTCCAGCCAGAGGTGCCGCCCCGAAACCAAAGACCACATCCCTGCCCCGACTGCCGGACGAAGGTCGTGGAGCATGCGCTGCATCGCAGGGGAAAGCTGTTTGTGGATATTGATAACACAGCCTGGATCCTGGTTTTTGTCTTCTGCCTTTGCAGTAGCTATGTGCAGCATGTGCCCACGCCAGCAAACACGTGAGGTCCGAAGGAGTCATGACAGAATATAGTTTTGGACAGGATGCAAGGAGAGCACTGGGGGTCGCCGCAAGCTCGCAACCTGCCTTCATGAGGTCAGCGACGCATGGAATCGAATTCGCAGAGAGCTGCTGGCATGGGTTGGTTTTGGGGCAGACGGTAATATGCGAAGCGGCAAGCACGGAGGGGCCTTGCAGCATTCCTGCAAGCAGGCCACGATCCCCAGCTGGCCGGGCGAGACTTTTGATTCTCGGGCGCACCTTCCGGAGGAACTTTGGTGTTCCGACTTCATTGCCCGTGCGGAACTAGAAACTTTTGAACCAGGGTGTGCAGCTAGACTCGACTGGCATGATCACCGAAACAGAGTCGCAAAACCACCCACATGTGGGTGTGTTGCCCTAGCGAGCTTCAGCCTGACATCCGGAGTTGAACCAGAATGCAGTAGCTCTCCGCACAGCTGCAAAAGGAGTTGGCCAAAGATTTGCCACTGCCAGGCTTGTCAGTGATGTGCTTGTGCAGGTAGAGCCGGCAACTGCCATGTCCACTCTGCAGTGCAGGTGCCCAGAAGGCCTTAGCATCGCTCACACGCGAGTGGGAGATTACCTACCTATCCGTCTCAGGCTCAGCTCAGGTCGGGGCAGTTCGCAAGATCCGACAAGAGTTGCTCAATCCCTGCGAAAACGGTGCCTTTCAGGCCCGGGGCGCTCCGGGTGCTTTTGATGCCACGCTGCGATGGCTAGCAGCTGGGCAAGGTGTTAAATGACCTTCTGAGAGCGGTCCCCGGGGCCTAGATCTGTGTTGCTGCTGCCGTCCGCTTCGGCCTGTGCTAAAGCCACCCGACGGTGAACCGTGGCTGGACGCTTTTGCCTCTGGCGGGTTTAGGGAGGCGGGACGAAAGCCTTTCGCTAAAGAGACAAGGCAGCCAACGGCTTTCCCAACCCAGGGCGCTTGCTGTTGGCCTTGGCCTCAGGGACTTCCGTCGTGGGGTGCCGACTGCCGAAGTGCTGAAGCTTGAGAACAACAGCACCTGTATGCACTCAGACTCAACGAAGTTAGGTTTCCGGTTGTGGGCCTGTCGGCCTGAGGTTGAGTCTGCCGTGGACAAGATCGCATGGCTGCAGGACGTCGGCCGGGGTTGGTGCCAGCTGCAGCCCCAACACGGCGAGACTTCACATTTGGGTCGAGGACGCAAGCAGCTTGGATCCTCATCGTCGACCTGTGCTCCTGGCCTCTGCCTCAGCTGACTGTGCTCAGAAACCTTCATGCACCAGAGTGTACCTCGAACTTTCTCCTGCCTTTGCATGGCTGCTTCTGGTTTTCTTCCCGGTTTGCCAGCAGCATCCTGTGGCGCCGTCGATAGCTGTTGGAAATAACCAAACCAGAGCAGCGGTGACAGCTGGAAGACAGGACAGCGAGGAAAGACAGGCCGGGGAGCAAAGGAGCGAGGAATCGACAGGGACAGCCGTAAAGCGGCAGCGGGAAGCCAAGGAAGGACGCGCGGATAAAACAAAAGTCACGTGACAAGGCTAAACGGAAGAAGCAAAGTACACGGGTGCCACGCACAACAGACCAGAAAAACAGATATTGAAAGGAAGATTGAATCGAAGGATATCGGTACAATATCAGGCAAGGATCCCAGTTTTCATTCTCGACAGCTCCGTCCAGGATCTCGGACAACGCGGCTGGCAAAGAGAAAGACGGTACGATATGTGTACTGGGCTGACATCGAGCACCCTGTGCCCCTGATCGCCTTCCTTGCGTTGCCATGCCGATGATTCCCAGGTCGACGACCTGACGCGAGGACGGGGACGCGCGGGAAGCCATGGGAAGCCTCGCCGGAGCAGGGTGAAGCTCATCTCATGTGAATCAGCACCTGTAGCAGCAGCTGTGCAGAGCGGTAGGTGAGAAGGACATGCCTACCGTTGCCGCGGTGGCTCGACGACAGGGCGCCCTTGTTTGAGGAAAATAGCTGCCGTGCTTCACCAGTGCTAGCTGGTGTTTTTGCATGGTAGCGGAGCTGGGTTGGCCCAGCGGACCGCTGCAGCACCTTACCCGTGCTGTGCCGAGCGCCTTCAACATTGCCGAGCACTCTACGGTGAGCCTCGGCAACCACTTTGACTTTGCGCCCGCCGCGGCCGGCGCTTGGCTATTGAGCCCTACGACAACTTCGCCTACAAGCTTGCACAACGAGATCAAGGATGGCAAGGCTGGAGTCTGACCGCTATGGAGTACCACAATACAGCGGCGAGCCCGACACCTTTGAGGAGTACCAGGAGCGCGCCTGGGACCTCTTCCATGGAAGGGAAGGGTCAGACCAGTTGCAGCTTGCCACGCCAGTTCACCTGAGAGCTGGTTTGACGGGCACAGCCTACGAGGCCGTGCGAAAGCTGGCGCACGAGAAGCTGAAGACCAAGACCTCCGACGGCAAGGTGACGGATGCGGGAATGAAGCTGCTCCTGCAGACGCTCAAGGAGAACATCGCCGCGGAGGCCCCGGTGAAGGTGAACGAGCTCTTCCTGAACGCCTTCTATTCCCCCGGGGTGTGGCGCCAGCCTGGAGAAACAATGCAGCAGTACATTGTGAGAAGGGAACAAGACCTGAAGAGGCTAGAAGAAGTACTGCCTGGAAGTGCTATCCCAGACCACCTCCGAGCACTTATGCTGTTGGTTTTCGGAGGCCTGGACCGGGGAGAACAGATGGCTATCCTGGCCAGCGTGGGCAACGACTACGACTTCAAGAAGATAGGCCACGCCCTGCGGATTCAGTTCCCCAACAGTGCCAGCAAGCCGGTGCATCGCCGCGACTACCTTGGCTGTGGCCGAGCTGGTTCTCCAAGCAGCCCGCAGAGATTCCGGCCTAGGCCCCCCAAGGGCAAGGGGAAGGGGCAATATGCCTATGCCGCGCTGGAAGAAGACCAGGACTACGAGAACGACGCCGCCATCTACGATGATGCCTTCGAGGCCGCAGACCTGGAAGAGGAGACCTACCAGCCTGAGCCCTACGACGAGCAGGCCGTGCTGGAGGCTATGATACAGGACTATGATTTCGCAGAGGACCAGGAGCTCGCCGAGGCCTATGCGACCATCTTCCAGAAGAAGACCAAGAAGGGACAACCTCCCCAAGGGAAGGGACAGCAAGCCTACCCCTTCCGAGCTCAAGGAGAAATTGCCTTTGACCAGAAGGGCAAGGACAACAAGAGGAACGCGATTAAGTTCCTGAAGCAGGTGACGCCCTGCACCACCTGTGGGATGAAAGGACACTGGGCGGGGGACCCAGAATGTCCCCAGAAAGGAAAAGGCGCGAAGACACACGCGAAGAAGAAGGTGGCGCCGAAGAAGAAGGGATCCTTCTATGTGGCCCCAGAGTACCCGGAGACGGCCGAGGAGCAGTTCTTCGCAGATTCTACCAGCACACCCTCGCCTTCCTCTACTGCGGCACCCCTCGCCATGCACGGTGTTACCTTTACAAATGCAAGCGAGTTCTCCGAGAAGGCCCCGGCGGAGAGCTATATGACCCTACGGAACACCGACCTCTGCGAGCACTCCAGCTACCGAGGGGGAGACGAGAAGAAGTTCCACCGCAGCGGCAACGCGCACACCCGAGGCATACACTGCAAGGAGCCGGAGTGCAACCGCGCTGTGATTTCAGGACGCCGCCGCGAAGCAGTGACTATGTGGAGCTTCCTGGTCCAAGTTGCCATCACCACCCTGTGGGGCCGACGGGCCCGAGAGGAGCCCTGGCCCAAAGGATTGCGGTGGTTCGTGCCGAGGCCCAAGAGGAGAAGGAGGAGGAAGAGCGCCGAGCCCGCGAAATTGGCTTGATTATCCACGGGCCGGACGGCACGGCCCATGGAGGTCAGACGCCACCCGGTGCCCATGATTGGCGGCCTGTGCTACAACAGCCTAAGGACGGGTATTCCCCCACGGGCACCGAGCTGAGTTCAAGTTCCTCGGCGGCACCGCGGGCAAGAGTTCTTCGACAGCCGCGGCCCGGCCAACAAGCATGGGTATATGGAGTGTGCCTTTCTCCCGACGCCGAGCTGCCAAAGTTTCCAGAGCTTGCCCCAGAGGATGCAGACATCATGGTTCCGCTTCCGTGTGACAGCACCACCCTTGGTACCGAGAGCCCCTTTCCGGGATTCACCTATGAAGTGGTGGCCTCCTCGCCCGAGGGAGCCGTGTTTTGCACGAGCGTGATGCACTCAGCCCTGACCAACCAGGTGATGCAGCCGGAGATCTACCGCTTTGCCTTTTACCTTTTCGGCCGGCTGCAGCTACTTCGCGGAGGTGTTCTTCGGATGAGCGGCCAGGACGGAGAAAGCAGAGACAAGAGAGAGGCCACACCCGGGACAATGATTACCTCGCGTGTGCTACAGGCCCCCGTGGCGATGGACCGCACAAGGCTCGACATTGTCTCCGTGCAGGACTGCGAGGTGATGATGACCACCGAGTGCCAGTCTACTTCCCCGGCAAGGAGCAGCAGCACGCAATGGGAGCTGGTTGAGGACACCCAGCCGGAGCAGAAAGAGGACAGCCAGGACCCCGAGGCCCTTGTGCTCGAACAGTGGGAGGCCCCCGACCTGGCGATCCTGGACAGCGGCTGCACAAGACGATGCACGGAAGCAAGTGGGCGGCACGCTTTGAGGAAGCACTTCGGCAAAAAGGGCTCGATTGTGAAACCCGAGCCTGCGACCAAAAGTTCAAGGGAGTCGGCGGTGATGTCGCAAGCAGCTGCCTGAAGGTCTACCCCATCGGGATCAAGGGCATACACGGCGAACTGGTCAGCTGCGAGACAGAAGGAAACTTGCCGATGCTTCTCTTCCGTGCCTTCATGGAACAGCAGGGCACAGTGCTCGACATCGGTGCCGGCACGGTCTCCTTCGAGAAGATCGGGATCAAAGAGCTGCCCCTCGTGAGGACAGCCAAGGGCCACTTCGCTGTTGACCTCCTGGACTACGACCTGAACAGGCTGAGCGACTTCACCGACGCCGCCGCCAATTCGTCTCTGTTGGTTCTCGGCGACCCGTACCTGAGCCCTGCCGAGGCCTTTGCAGAAATGGACCGCATGATGGGTGGCGACAGCCCCGAGGTCCCCGAAGGATGGAACCCAGACGATTGGCAAGACCACTTGGCCGAGATTGCGCGTCGGAAGGCCGACGCCGAGAACAGTAACCTTGAGATTGCCACCGCCGACGTCTCCGAGGAGGCCCACTACTTTGAGACGGTTCTGGTGGCGACCCCGACGGCAATGAGAAAGACAACCGGCAAGAAGGGAAAGAAGATCGACGCCATGAACGCGACCCTTGACGGGACCGACCTCCTCCAAAGGCAAGTCCTGGAGGGCAAGTCCAGAGTGAGCCGCCGACCGCCCTACGGGAAAACGTGGCTTAAGCAGATTTTCTCTGGAAGTGTGGGACTGAGTGTCCTCTGTGCCTGTGCCGGCATGGCAGTCGGCGCCCCCCTGGGCATCTGGACCACCGGCTGGGACTACTCGGGCCGTTCGGGAATAAGGCATGTGCACCAGGACCTTCAGAAGGAGGACCCGTACCTCCTGGTTATCACCCAGCCGTTTGGCAACAGCAAGAAGGAGGAGACGGTAGACGCACGCAACCATGCCGCGATCCCGCCGCACTTCAAGGACGACGCCGTCACCCTCACCAACAAGATCGTGCGAGACAGGGTGAAGGCGAACCGCCATGTGATGATAGAACAGCCCGACCTCGACGAATGGCTAGCAGACCCGCACCTGAAGGACGTTGCCAACCTTCTGTCTGCGGGGTCCCTTGTGAGGATCGAGTTGGACGGCTGCCAGGTAGGGTACAAGGACCCTGCCACGAACATGCCGATCAAACGGCCCACCGTCGTACTTACCAGTCTGCTTGTGGCTGTTGAGGTGATGCAAGGGTACCTTTGTGACGGCGAGCACCAACATCACAGAAGCTCGCATGGCACTGCCGAGGAAGACTGGCCCCACTACCTCAACAAGCTCGTCTTTGACACGATGGCGCAGCAGGCCCTGGTAGAGCACCACGCCGTTCCCAACGTGAAGGAGGCCTTTCCAGTAGAGCCTTCGCCCCGACCAAAGCGAAGGAGGTCCGTACTCACGGACCAGAGCAACGCACCGCCAGTTTACCTACGACCAGACCTGCAAGTGCAGCCACCGGTGCCAATCGACGACGGTGACCGCATCCTCGCCGAGCTCGTGGGAGACTACGAACCGCCAGCTACATATGCTCCAGGCGACGACAGCAGCGCGAGGGCCATACAAGCTGCCGAGCTCGAGCCGACCTTGAATATTCCCGAAGGTGAGCGCCGTCGACTATGGCTCCAGGCGCCACCCGAGGTGAGAAAGGTTCTTCGAGATCTTCATGTCCAGTTTGGGCACCCGACGACAACGACTATGGTGCGCATTTTGCGCCGGATGAGTGCAAAACTTGAGGTGATTAGAGCCGCTCAGCACCAGTCGCGCGACAGCTGTGGCGAGTCGATGCGACGCAAAAGGCAAAAGCCCACCAAGTTGCCCAGCAAGTACGTTTTCAACCACCACCTGCAGCTGGACACCTTCTACGCCCGGGACTGCCAGTCCGTACTGTACTCCTTCCTCAACATTATTGATGAGGCCACCGGTTTCCAGGTGGTATGCGCCTTGGGCCAGGCCATTGGACCACCAGCTTCGAGGGCTATCCTGCGGCACTTCCTCTCCAGTTGGTCCAGTTGGGCCGGGCTCCCGCACAGCATCCAGGTGGACCTGGGAAAGGAGTACATGGCAGACTTCGCCAACTACCTCAAGCAATGGGGGGTAGAACAAGAAACCATGCCGTTAGAAGCACCTTGGAAAGGTGGAAAGGCCGAACGCGCAGGAGCCGCGTGGAAGGAGATCTTTGTGAAGACGGTCCACGAGATGCAGTTGACGGGGCTCCTCGACGTGCAGACGGCAACCGGCGTCGTGACTCAGTGCCGCAACAGCTTCCCAAGAACCTCCGGCTACGCGCCAGTACAGTGGGTCTTGGGCGTGCCACAGGTTCGTCTTCCTGGTTCGCTCTTGGACGACTCAGAGAGAGAACGCTTGGAGGTGATGGAAGCCGCAGAGGATCCATCCTCAGAGATGGCACGAACGCTCGCTATCCGCGAGGCGGCAAAGGTGGCACAAATAAAGCAAGACACCGATGGGCGTGTGCGACGGGCCCTCTTGAGAAAAAGCACGCCTACTCGTGGTCCTTTCCCTGTGGGCTCCTACGTTTACTTTTACAGGGCACAAGTACCACCTGGAGCACCTCGAGCCTTTCGTTGGCATGGACCCGCGCGAGTGATCGGAGTTGAGCTTAGGAACCAGAGGCGGGTTCAGGACCCAGAACCCGCAACAGCAGGCGGCCAACCACACAGCTACTGGCTGCGATATGGTTCCACAGTGGTGCTGGTGACTGGAGAGCAGCTTCGCTTTGCGTCTGAGGACGAGCTCTTGGCCGCGCACGCAGTACCACAAGATGCTCTCGAACCTCCTTACGCCAGAGGTGCACGCAACTTTGCAGACCTGCGTGCCATCCCGACGGAGGTGCCCCCAGCCGCTCAAGGACAAGCTGGGCCAATTCCTGTCCCAGTACCTCGTGGAGGCCCCGCCGTTCCAAGGATTGCCCCGGGAAGCAATCAACAGCCGCCGGCGTACATCCCGGGCACAGACATACCTGTTCTTCCAGAACTTCTGCCACCAGTTCCCGAGGACGACGAGGACGAGGGCAACTTGGGAAACCCGGGGGTCGCACCACAAGAACAACAACAGCAAGGGACGGGCGCCACTGGGGAAGGTGCCGCTCCGGCGCCGATGGATGGCGTGACAACGGGAGCACCTCCCGCAGCCAATGCCACAGGGACAAGGAGGCCCTCCGGAGCGATGTCAGAACCGGAACCACAACCTGTACTACCGCCTTCGACTTCGGTGACGCCAACACTTGCTCCACAACCTCCTCCCGGACAGCCACTGCCACTCACGCACCGTGACCCGGACCAGCTAGATGGCTATAACCCGGTTCGCCGAGGAGCCTCTTCGGGGACTTCAAACCCGTACCTCGTCGAGGAAGACCCGTGGGATTGCCCCACTTTGCCGGAACGCCTTCGATACCGAAGCCTGCGAGACTTTGCCGAGCAGTACGGGTACACCAGTGGAGAGGACAGCGGCACAGACCACGAGGAGATGATGAAGAATGTCCCGGCCGAGACCTTCATGACAGGCCGCGCCGGCAGGAACTCTGAGGTCAAGCTAGCCAACCTCGACAAGGAAAGCCGTGCAAGGTTTGATGCATCGATGGGCAAGGAATGGGCTTCCTGGCAAAAGTTCAGTGCAGTTGACCCAGAAGCAGATCGAGGACCTGCCGAAGGACGTCAAGATTATCGGAACAAGGTGGGTGCACACAGACAAGAACGAGAAGCCCAGACTCTTGGCTATGTACATGGCCAAGCGCACCGGCAAGACGAAGGAGCAGATCGAGAAGGAGTTCCCCTTCGAGGCGAAAAGCCGTCTTGTCGTGCAAGGGTGCCAGGAGGATCCACAAAACATCCGCTCGGATTCCCCCACGGCATCACTACTCGCCTTCAACCTGGTCTGCTCTGTGGCTATGCTAAAGGGGTGGGTGATCACCGCCTGCGACGCTTCGACAGCCTACCTGCAGTCGCAAGGGATAAGCCGATTGCTGGTGTTACGCCCGCCTCGGCCACCACCTCCAGGAGTCTCGCCGCACGCTTTGTTTCGAGCACGTGGCTCGATATATGGAACCAAGGACGCCGGGCGAGCCTGGTGGCGAAAGTTATGGAGGACCCTGAAGAAACATTGCTGGTCGATGTCGCGCATCGAGGCAGCCCTCTTCTATCTTTTCGAGGGAGAGGTCTTCATGGGCATCCTGGTCACCCATGTCGATGACCTGTTCAGTGCCGGCGAGGGCGAGAAATACGAGGCCACGATCGCAGAGATGGAGAAGGAACTTCACTTGAAGGTGAAGAGGGGCGAGTTCAGGTTCTGCGGAAAGAACGTGCACCAGACCGAGGACGCGATCATCCTCGACCAGTACGACGCTATTGAGGGCGTCGACTACCTCCTGCTCGACAAGGACCGCAGGAAGCAGGTGAACGCGCCACTCACGGAGACTGAGAAGTCGCTCTTCCGCGGCTGGATAGGCCAGATGGGCTGGATCACGCGCCAGACCAGGCCGGATCTCATGGTAAATGTTTCCATGGTGGCCCAGTCGATGGGGCACCCCACCGTGAAGGACATCATCAACCTCAACAAAGCGGTGAAGATGTTGAAGGAAAGCTCGGACGCAAGGTGGTGTTTCAGGAAGTCGGAGATGACCCTGGAGAACGCAACGGTTTTCTGCTTCGCTGATAGCAGCTTCGCGAACAAGGAGGACCTGAAGTCACAAGCGGGCTACATCATCGGCTTCACCACCCCCGAGATCACGGGTGGCAACACAGTGCCCATCCACATCTTGGAGACCCACTCGGGCAGCATCAAACGAGTGTGCCGCTCCACCTTGGCAGCAGAAGCCAACGGCTTCCTGTCTGGAGTTGAAGCAGCTGAGTACCTGAGGGCGATCCTGCTGGAGATCACGAACCCTGGGGTGACCGTGAGGGCGCTGGACACGTACTACCTCAAGAGCAAGATCGTAGGCATCACAGATGCCAAGAGCCTCGAAAGCACCCTGAACAAGTCGACGGGACAGCCGACAGACAAGAGAGTCCGCATCCTGGTCGCACAGATAAAAGAACTTCTTGGCGAAGACGACTACAGCGACCAGGCTTCCGCCTTTGCACACTGGGTGGACACAAGCCAGATGCTAGCGGACGTCCTGACGAAGCTGGGGTGCGAAAGGGAGCCAATCCTCGAGGCTATGGAAAAGGGGCAATGGAGGCTTGCGCCGTCTGAGGAAGCTAGCTTGAAGAAGTTGGCAATCCGAGCGGGACGGCAGAGCCGAAAAGCCCGGTCGCGAGCCAAGGACGGGTGCGAATCAGCACCTGTAGCAGCAGCTGTGCAGAGCGGTAGGTGAGAAGGACATGCCTACCGTTGGCGCGGTGGCTCGACGACAGGGCGCCCTTGTTTGAGGAAAATAGCTGCCGTGCTTCACCAGTGCTAGCTGGTGTTTTTGCATCTCGTGTAATGCTGTAAAATTTGCATAATGTGACATGATATTGTACAGCACTGCACAGTACTTGTGGTATTGGGTGATGTGTCTGTGTAGACAGTGTGCATATAGTATATGCGTGTGAATGTGTATATATATATATATACACATCTGTATTTGTGTATATATATATATACAAGACACCACCAGGACATCATCTTGCGCAAGCTGTCCCAGACGAGACGATGCGCTCGGCACTGCAAGCTTTGCGATTGGAGCACGAGGCGAAGCAGCTTAAGTAATGCTGACACAGCTGATACTGATTGTGATAAGTGGCAGCTGTGGAGACTTCCGTGGAGGTTTTTGATCCTCAGACAAGCGACTGGGCGAAACTCGCTGAGCGCTTGCTGGCACGAGCAGGACCCTTAGGTTCCTTAGATGGAGCGTGATCACTGCCCACACGTCAGGATCGGAAGCTTTTGTTGAACGATGCAACCGATCAGCATTTCAAGCGCCGTTTTCCCGGAATTGTAACCTGGAGCTTTGCTGGAAGAGCCCCGGTCTCCTCCAAACGTGATGGCTCCGGTTATGTGGCTCCCCTGTGCCAGTCCTTGACAGCTGTTTGAAAGCCAGCCTCCTGGACCAAGGCTGCCGAGATGCGTGTGACTCGCAGCCGCCCGGCAGCGCCCGTCGTCCTCTGCCGCGACTGAGACGCGCTGGAAAGAGTGTGCAGGCTGACAGTCGCATGCATGGGGAAGGCTCCATGTACCACAAGGGGAGAGTCCTCACACTGTTTAACAGAGTCCGTGGAGGGGTCACAGAAGCTAGCAGAGGTAGGCTTTGATTAAGTTCTGATGCAGTGCCGCATGCGGGGGATCAATGGTGGCTGCCCCAAGTCAGTTTCTGAGGGCAGGGTGCGACCAGAAGGGGCCACATCAACATGGCTTCGACCACAAGAGCAACGGCGACAACGACGCTCGCAAGACCAGCGGTAGCAAACAGGGACGACAAGATCTCTGACAACACTGCACTATGATCCTAGCAAGAAGATCAGGAACAGTAGCGGAAATATGCAGACACTGAAGTAGCAGTGACCTTGACGGTGCGCAGCACTCGATTGCTCTAACTCCCTGCACCGGGCTCGCACCTCTCTCCTCAAGTACCGAAACCTCCCATGACTAAGGGCAGCGACCCTTCCATCACCCTCGTTGTACCCTCCAGAAGCGACGTTTGTGACGCCGTTTCGACTCGCCCCGCGCCTCTTAGTTGCGGGCTGCAGAGATTGCCAAAGATCGCTCGCCGCTTCGCTCCAGGAGCCGAGGCCCTCTGCCGGACACTGTGTCCGCATGTCCCTCCGCATGTGTCCGCTTGCCCCCTGCCCAGGCGAAACATGGAGTCTCCCAAAAGAAAGCCAGGCTGCCCTCTGCAGCCGGGATGCTCAAGCTGACTTCACAGCGCCACAGCACCAAACACAAACACGACCACTCCTTAAGGCTGGTCACTCTCAACATGGATGCCAAGAAGTGCGAAGTCAATGAGGACGCGTGGCGGCCCCAAAAAGAAGCCGAACAACCAGCAGAACCTGGGCTGTGCGTGAGTCGTCTAAGGCTGGGCCGCCTAGAAAAAAGACTGAAGGAAATGGGTGCCAAGATGGTACCCCGGTCTGCACTTGTGCTTCTTCGCATTCTGTCCTTCGAAATATTGCCTGCTCAGGTAGCTATTGTCTCAGTCATGGGCGCTTTCCGAACAGGAAAGCCGAATGCTCAGACAGCTTGTTTTCATGTGTAGCTGCGTCCTTCCGAGCTTCGGGTTCAGAATAAACAAGGGGGCCGAAAAAGAACAAAGGCTAAAAGAGACAGCTCCGAGTGAGGTCCTTCCTGTTGGACCTCTTCCTCCGCTTCTTGAAGTGGGAGGCCAGACCAGGCTACAGGACCACTTCATTTGTCACGCATTGCTTTCGTTGCCTGAATGTAAGTGCTATGACGACAGACTCGGTAGACATCGTCGTGAAGATGTTACAAGACTCATACGTATCAGAGCAATTCTGGATGCACCAGTCGCCAGGCGGACCATCCCGAGGAGGCTGCTGCAGCGAGAAGCGTCTGGGCCCCGGGCCCCGACGCTTTGAGTCGCTGGCAGCGCTCAGAAAATGTAATCTGGCTGCAGCTCAAGCATGAGGGCGTGAGGGTCGGTGTGGTGCTGGACGGCTGCGGTGTTTTGGGAAGGGGGAGGAGCAGGCGCTAACCACAGTGGTGCAGAAGAAGCAATCGAAGCTGAATACTTATGTATCAGGTTGGATCGCTTGCTTCTATTGAAGTGTGTTTGTCTGTATGTGTGTGTGTGTAGTTTTCCTTTCCGAGCCACATGGCCAGGACCGAATTTTCCTTGTCCCTAACATGGCCAGCCAACAGAGTAAGTTTTAGGCCTCTGTTGCCAGCTCGCCAAAGCCGTGGCCCTCACACTGGGCAGCAAAACTTTAACAAGAAGTCTTAACAGCAACCAAGCATAAGACCCTGTACATCAGGATGGAGAATCGTCTTCTCCGCACTGCTTGATATGCGCTAGACAAAAAACCTTAGAGAACCGTAGAAAACCACATAGGAACCTTAAAACACTCTGCAGCGAATCATCCACAGACCACGCAAGCTTCCGGACGATGTGAGTCAGTACTCTAAACACCATATGGTACATACGTACTGAGTGGTCGTTGTGCAACATCCTCAGCTTCGTGTAGCCTCAGAAGTATCCTCGCGACCAATTCCAAGGAGTCGCAGCCGGCACGGGGTGGAAACGAGGATTGTTGAAGCAACAATCATGTGCTCTTCATGCGGAGACGCGCCTGCTGGAGCATGGCGCAGTCTGGTCGCCAGCAAAGGATGAGACTGATTTTCTGTCGCAGAGGTAGACCGAAGCGCCGTCGGGGGCTAGAAATTTGGACAGTTCGGCACAGGGGTGCTGTGCCTTGCACTTGCTACTGATGGAAGATTTGCTGCGCAGGATTTTCCACTGCCCGCATGGGTGAGGACCTCAATGCGCTGCTTGTCCGGCTACCGCATTCTGTGCGGAAGCTTGTTGAGAAGAGAACCTGTTTGATACAGTGATCAGTGATGAGTTCAGACACAGAGGGAAGAGAGAGAGAGAGAGAGAGAGAGAGAGGGCAAGGGGGGTCTCCTCCCTTGTCCTTAACCCTGCTGAAAGAAAGAGAGAGAACAAAAAAAGAGCATATGTTCAGAAGATGGTACAGCGAGACTTCTGTAACTTCTCCCATTTGGGTCCCTAGACCTGGCAACTATATCTGTGCCGCAGACGACCGAGGAACCACGTCTTTCCGAGAGTCGTCTTTGCTGTGGATTGGTTTCACACCGACAGCAGGGCCGCGCCTCTCGGCGCGGGGGGCGCGGCCGGGGGGCCTTAACGGGAGAAGGGAGAGAGAGAGAGAGAGAGAGAGAGAGAGAGAGAGAGAGAGAGAGAGAAAGGGGGAGAGAGAGAGAGAGAGACAGACAGAGAGACAGACAGACAGATAGACAGACAGACACAGACGGACACAGACGGACGGACGGACGGACGGACGGACGGAGAGAGAGAGAGGGGGGGCCATATACCTATAGCCAACTTTGTTTCCACTCTTTCCACTCCTTATAGGGGGGTGCGCAGAAGCGCAGGGGCAGGGGGCAACCCCTGCAGAAAGGAAGAAGAGAGAGGGGGACCGGTGATTGAGTCTTTGTCAGTCTTTTCACTCCGACCTTCCATGCTTTCCAGTGCGCGGTACAGTGAATTGATGCGGTGGCCGAACAGAGAGGGGGGGGGGGTACTGCACCTTAGGGGTGAGACCCTCTAAGGCCGAGCTAGAGAGAGCCAGGAGAGTGAGAGAGATGGTGCCCCCGAGACCTTTGATGTGCTTGGTGTTCGGACGGAGATTTGGAGTGGCTGCAAGAGCTTTTTCCTTGAAGGGTTATGTTGGAGTTTATCTTGTCAGCAAAGTTTGCAGACTCAGACAGTCGAGCTTTCAAAGGACACGACCTGCAAAAATGTAGCTGGTGCATTGCCGGGTTGAACCAGCCCTTGGCCCGACAGAGAGAGAGCAGAGCCACAGCAGTGGACCCCAAGCCCCGCAGAGAGACAGACTTGCCAGCGGATCGACAGACAACGGGGTCGCACGCTTGCGCAGGGGTAGCTCCTGATCCATGGAGCTTTCTGCCCATTTGCTTCGAAGTTTATCCGTCTATCCATTTGTCCATCTGCGCCTCCAAGATCACGACAGCGGGCGCCAACATAGAGGGAGCCTCCGAAGATGACGAGGCTCCGTTGCCTTCCGTGGCAGTGGTCACCCTGAAGTGTTCCGGTCCGGTCCGGGATGTCCGCGCAGGGCTTTCGGTTTAAGGGCGGCATGGACGCCTGCACAGAAGGCATATGGGTCTGGCGGGCAACTCAAGCTGTGAGAGGCAGCTCAGCGCAGTGTTTCGGGGCCTGTGCGACCGAGGTCCGAGCCTTTCTTGCGAAAGCTGAATGGCCAGGAGGTTGCAGTCCTTCTGATGGACACACAGGCTCCTTGTGATTCCCAGAACAGTCCTCTGAGCTCTGAAAGTACAACCACGTCAGGGCGCCTGGGACAGTAACATGACCAAGGACACCGTTTCCGATTGTTGCGAGGTGTCGCTGCATTGCGACGACACAGGGATGGAGGAATGACCGTCAAGAAAACCAAGGTGCCGCTCGATCCTGCCATGTCCCCTTTGCGCCACCTGCCAGGAGCAATCTGCAACAGTGTTTGGATTGACCGCAGTGCTGTCGTCCAAGCAGCTCCTTGGTCGCAGGATCCTGCCCAACATCACGGAACTCACCGTGGCGTTTAAACCCTGTGTTAAGTGCAAAAATAAATTTTGGAATTACAGGCCGCAGTACGTAGGCGCGGAGCAAGTAGGCGCCTTTGAGCTCCGCTGGCCCCCGCGGGCGGTGCACGCCTCTTCCGAGCAGAGCGGGTGCTCCTGCTGGGCTGTCAGCACCTCCCTAAACAAGTTCGGCACTGAGAGCACCCTAGCTGGAGAAACGTGCACCCGATGATGCCGATGATGTTTTCCGCTTGCTTGGCCTACAAAATTGACAGGGTGCGCAGGGGCACAGGATCATGGGGCTTGACTCACAGCATCGTCGGAAACTAGCCATTGGGGCGGCAGCTCTTCTACAAAACAGACGAGCTCTTCTGCATGAAAGATGCTGCCCAACCAGGTTGACCGATGCACGTGGGACCCAGAGGCATTGCATGGGCATGGTGTCGTGGCCGCCCAACCGTGGAGTCAGGCAGAAGAAGGCCAAGCTGGGCCCAGCAGAGCGAGGCAGCGAATCAACAGCGAGCACAGACCAGAGCTTGCAGTCCAGGAGAAATGGGTGAGATCGAAGGATGCGTTCAATGTGCTGAGGATTTACAACATCAACATGCAGATACAGGAGGACAAGGCACTGTCTCGGAATGTGTATATGGCCAGCGGTGGCATCATTGTCACTGAATCGTAAGTTCACAGAGCTGGCTGCACCAGTTGCGAGGGGAATGGGAAGCGTGCGAAAGGTGGAGAACCTGGCCTACTTCATGCGCTTCGCGCAGGCGGAGCTCAACAAGGCCGCTAGTGAAATGGAGCGAGAAGGCCGGGGGCTCTTGCTTGCAACCCAGCAGGACCAGCAGGTGCAGGGATGAGTTCTCCAGGGCAGCTGCAGAAAGCTTGGAACTCACGGAGAAAAAGCAAGCATATCCGAAAGAAGCTAACCATGGCGTGGGTGCCATTGGGTGCTGGGTAGCAAACTGTAGCACCAAGGGTGCGAAGCCAGCTTCAGGCCTTCAACGAATCCGACAGTTCGCAACACCACTGTGGGAGTGTAGTACGGGACTGCAGGATTTTCTCCTAGATGGGTACAGAGTAAACAAGATTTGGTATCACGAGCGCCGGGCGCTGGCGGCAGTCCCCCCAGACGGTTCAGTGCCTCCCCTGGCGCCGTTCACGTTTTCGACTAATCGTGTTCGTTCCTGTCACATTGTATCCGGAGTCTCTGTGCGAATTAAATCCCGACACAGGCTCATCTTGGCCGTCAAATCAATCGAAACCGCTACCAGTCCTAGCAGGGCCACATTATTCGCCTCTTCCAGGCCCCGCGCGTAACCCCATCCCAGATATATTATCTTGCGACCATGTTTCCACCTCCAATCATGTTCCCGCCACAGTCCGGGGCCTCAAGGGTGCTCCTGGAGCCGTCGTTGCTGACACTGTTTGGGCTTTGCGCTAGCGTAATCTGGGCACAGACAATGATGCAAACCTTTCGGCAAAGTCTCAATGGAACCACGGCCAATGACAGCAACATGCCGTCAACAGGCTTCGTGCAAACCTGTGGAGGGGGGGGAGGGGCGAAGGCGCGAAGGTCCGACGACACTGTGAAGCCCTCGGACTGGAGTTGCAAGCGCAGAATCTTGAGCAAACCACGGTCGAGAAGCTGCGCAGCTGTAGCGGGCTGAAGTAGAAATCGGATGTCGCCAGGCAAGCCTTTGAGCCGAGCGTGGAGCTCGGCTCTGACGTCTAGAGGCGGAGCATCCTCGAGCGTCCTATGTCCCAACAGGAGGAGATCGACAGACCCTTTCAGTCCTTGGACTTCCTCGTCCGCGACTGGCGACACTTCAGGCGTGGCTTAGACACAAAGCTTGTTGGTCTCGCGGATAAGGCTAGGATTCTGTGGCTGCCTGTGTTAGGGATGACTGGACCGTGGATCAGTGCATGGAGCAGATGCAGCAGCAGATGCCCCAGTTTCCTTCACAGCAGACCAGTTCGGTCTCGGCACTACGCAAAGGCTTGGAGTCGGCTTGGAGCAAGGCTGCCGTAGCAAGCCTAGGCAGTCTCATGACATTGACCAGCTACTGTAGGTTGTATACCTCGCCTCCCACCCCAGCCATCGAAGCTCAATTTTGCGGTGATTTTTCCAACCACTTACTCCAAGAGCATACCCCGCACGACGCAAGCGAAAAGGCCATGCCAGCACACTACATCCGGCGAGCGAGGTCAGACCTCCCCGACCCATCATGTTCCTTAAATGAGTCCGGAACCCATTCCCCCCAGAACCCCGGGCCTCCCCCCCCCCGACAGACCCCCACCACTCGAAGAAGCATACTCTAACTCGAATCAGAAAGTGGTGGACCAGGCAGGAACGTCAGAGTCGCTGGAAATTTATCGGGGAGCTCAGGCACCTGTCCCGCCATGTCAACCCGCAGAAGATGGTAGAGAACAGCACTGCCGAGGTGGGCATGTCTTGGGTTAAGTTGGGACAGGAACACTGAACATCTGTTGTGGCAGCGCCCCGTGCTTCGGTAAATAGTGGTTCGGATTTTTTCGATGGCATTGCTCCGCGAGCCACCTTTGGACTGGAGGGAGCGGGCTACTCCGTGTACTTGTAGCATTACATGCTCCGTCGCCATGAGGCGCTACATGCAATGTTCAAGCGCTTGCAATGCTTTTGCTTGTCCGGCGCCTAGCTTTGCACTGTAGGCGCTTGGAGCCTCCAGGCGTGGGGGACTCTCGTGCCAAGGCCCCACCCGGGACTCATCATCGAGAAGGACACGTGGACCGGCAAGGCAGCTGCCGGACAGCTCCGAGAGCTTTTCAATGATCTTGAGAAGCCTCGAGCTGATCTCTTTTGATCCGTGGTGTACTTACTGCGTAGAGGTCGCTGACATCAGCAGAGACTTCATCCGGTTTATGGATCTCTATGTCCGGGACGTCTTCACCACAGGCATACAGAGCTGCTCAGTAGAGCCACGACAGACTCTCTCAAAGCTAGGAAGCTGAACTAGCAGTTGCAAGTATTGGCGGGAACCGTGAAAGCGAGGTGACCTTTTTGTTTGCTCGAGATCCGCATGCCTTTATCGGCCCTGACTGTTCCCCTCAAGATCCCTCAAGCAGGCCTGAGCACCAAGAAGATCTTGGGCTCGGAGTTAAGCCTCTTGGCAGCGAAGCGGAGACTGCTTGGAGCCGCCTCGGTTTTTGTCCATGTATGTGCACGGAGGTACAATGAGCTTTCCGCACGTGCTGCGAAACTTTGCGGGAGCCCCTGAGGGCTCTGACCTCCCTAGAGGCATCTGGAGCCTGGAGGAGGCACATCAAATATCATCAAGTCCAAGTCCAGTAGTCTAGTCGTCGTCTCTTGGAGCCGGACCTGGACCTGAGGTCGATGCATTTCACGACGCGGCTCCAGCTGCCATGTCCTTTACGCAGGCCATGACCAACTGCACGGCTCCGGCCCTACCCCGCTTTGCAATTAAGGTCAGTTGTCTTTGGAAAAAAGCACATGTTCTGTATGGGACACTCTCTGAGACTCCCCACTCGCGCAGTGAGCTAAGGTACTCTTGGCCAAGGAAGCGGCCATGAAGAGTTTCATCAAGAAGATGGACGAGGCCAGCGAGTTCTCGTGGATGTTTGCTGCCCCCGGGGGCTCGGTAATCACTTGGCCGTCTCTCTAAGTAATTGCTTTGAATTTCGATTCGTGAAGCCTGACCCAAAGCTTCTGCCAAGCAGCGCCAGGAAGCATCAAAGAATCCTAGAGGCGGGGCTCCGTGAGCAACGGCCAGAGCGAGAGACGGAGACAGCACTCTGATGTTTGTGAAATCTTGTCGGTTTCGGGCTTCTGGTTCCGCTTGCCGACCCGATCTGGGCAGCAAAGGAGGCCAGATCCCTGAACTTTTTGTTGGCGTCAAGGCTGAGCAGCTTGCCACAAAAAATGCCTGGAAGCAAAGCTTCACTTCGTTGTGGTTTATGCGCCTGGGATCCTCCACTGTCTACTGCTCCCGCGCAATGTCAGGATGCTTCTTGCTGGCTCAATTACTGATGCCAGATCATATGTCGTGAACATGGCACTTGCGCATGCTTGCTGCCAAGTCGTCGGCCATTCAGGCATGAAGCCTGAAGAATTCACAAGCATTTCGAGAACTGTCACCCAGCAAGTGGAGGAGGGGCAGCATGTCAGCGTTCGTCACTGAGCACTTGCAGTCACCGGAAAGAGGCGGCTGCACCATTGCAGGATGACTACAAGTCCATGACGATCTTCGGGTCGGACTCTCACCCAAAGTGTCAACCACGAGCAGAAAGTCTTCTGAGAGCAGCCTGCCGTGCTGAACGGGTATGTGATCATCCATATCATCTCAACCCCTGTTCGCTATCGCAATTCAATTCAAAAATTGTTTTCGTGCGAACCACCACTCGGTGCCCAGGACATGGGTTGAGTGGCCGACAATGCCGCTTGCATCATGAACATCATTTGGTCTTCGTTTCCCCCCCCCCATGGCTTCCGGTATCTTTACGACTGGGTGGAGACCACCACTAGGGCGTTGCCCGATCTGGGGCTGGAACCGTGGCTGTCGTGATGAACCCATCGGCCCGTTCAAAGCCTGTCACATTGAAGTGTTAGGCGAGGAAGTGACTTGGAGAAGGGAGAAAGCAAGAATAGGCTGGTGGTGGGTCCAGAGAGGGACCGTAATGGCAAGGTAGTAGGGCCACGGTGTGAAGTTAATTGTGCGGTTTTGTGTGTGTGTGTGTGTGTGGGTGGGTGGTTGGAGCAAACATTTCCTAGAACCAAGACGAGGCTTGTCCTGGACTGAACGTTGTGGAGCACATATTCCATGCGACCATATGCTTCGCAGAATAAAACCGTGTGTGGCCTCGTTGGGAAGGGCGGAAGGAGAGTCAGAGTGCGACTAGAGATACCGTCGCAAGCTGGGAAACCAAGGGGCGAAGGTCGGGAGGATGTTGTTGGGAAGAGAACATGTGTCGGCAGGCTTGGGAGGCGAAGGAACTGGGATGATGTATATCTTGGGAAGTCGACACAGCTACTTGCTTTCAGGCTCGACATCATGGGGGACCACTCCTCTACCGTAAGGATGTAAAATCGAGGCATGCAGCACCCAGGTCAGACGACACCAGGAAAGACACCTGGACCGAAATCTGCTCGAACTTGGAGAACCTCCGAAAGAGGTACGAGGAGGAGACGCGACGGGACGGAGTTGGGGGTTCAGCCATGCTCCGCAGAGCTAGAAGTCCACGGCTACCTTGGAGGCTTTCGGAGCATAGCCATCCAGAGAAGCCTCGCCCAGAGCTTCGAATCTTATGCACTGTTCAGGAGAATGCGAGGCGACTAGAGAAGGCACCAGCTTCATAGCCGTTGAGTCAAGGTGCCTCCTAGCTGATGTTGTTCAGCGAAGACACGCCCAGGCATTGGTCGCTTTTGCGAACATCTCCTTGATTGGTCTCGCACTCTTCCTGCTAGATCGAATAAGCCGCCTGCTTGCAGCAAAGGTTTTGTTGTCCTGGTTCTCAGGCGCACCTCTGGTCACTCTAGTCCTTGCATTGCGGAAGGCATGGATAACTTCCCATGTTGTCAGATCGGTCTTTCGTCGGAATGGAAGACGTAGATTAACCAGCCTACTGGAACGCTGCTTAGCTGGTTTGCCCCTGCAATTAGATCAGCTCAGCTACGGATGCCGTGCTTGTTCGTTCTGAAGAGATACCGAATTGAGATGCCTGTCAACCTAGCAGTTCCGACGACCTGACCGTTTCCGATCCTTGCTCCCCTTGTCGGACTCAGGCGACTGGACTTGTGATTGGTGGTCGCAAACATGTACGGACTTGAGCAAGGCTCCGAAAAATTGAGAGGGCAAATGTCTGGGAAACCAGTACTGCGAAAGTTGCATTGAGCTGAAGGCTCTCACTGCTCGAAGCTAGTTGCGAGGGTTCTGTGCAGCTTTCACGAGGGCTGAAATGACCTAGCCTTTTACGCATGCTTTAAGCAGAAACTGCCCCCCGCAGTTGATGCTTCTAGCCTACGTGATCATCTTTGGTTACGCATGTGCCTCAGAACTTTCCTGTTGATCCTTGTCGACCGCTGCCTTGTACAGCTGTCTGAGGTGGGTGTGCAAGCGTACCTCGCTCTCCACGATCGGGGGCGAGTCGCCGGAAGCCGAGCCAAAAAGCCCAAGTCTCCTCATCTCTTTCATCCTCCGGTTGCCACTCAGATCTTAAGCGCCTGCCTAAGCTGATGACAGGCCGCCGCCATGGCAGGAGGCGAGCTTTGGAAAGAAATGGTCCGCTTGATGGGCCTGCCAGGACCTCAGTGATCAGAGGATGCAGCCTGCCGACAAAAGTCTGAGCGCTGAGGTATGGAGAGCTCCTCCAAGAGATGGAGCTGAAAGAAGTGCCGGGCTGGTTGAAGGATAAGGCGAGCTTCCGATCATAGTGAGAATTGACAAAATTGTCTGGCTTCACTGCAACATGCAAAGTTCGGTACAGCAGGCCCTGAACTTGTACAACCAGGCCCGGGCTCTCGGACGTGATGTTTTCTTGATTCACCGTATGCTTTTCATACTCAGATTACGGGAGCAGCCCCCAGCATCGACTCCAAGAACAAGAAGGCTGGACTTTGCGCTGCAAGCTTTGCTTCCGGGAGTGTCCGATCAGAGTTAGCTTTCAGCTACCAGGACTGAGACGCACATTGGCCAATGCATTGCCAAAGAGCCGACGAGGGCTCCATGTGTGAGTGTGGGTCCAAAGCGGTTGAAGGGTATGTGAAGAGTGGTGTAGAGACACAACATACCTATACTTAGACTTAAAGCTGGGGAGTGAAGCCTTCTACGGAGGGCGTTCCGCCCAGCTCGGCCTCCCGACCGCTTTCGAGCCTGTCGGGTTGCCTCCCGCCCTTCGACAGTGAAGCCACGTCGTTGGACCGCGCCTCTTTGCAGATGCAGCACTGCACATGTGAGATGTGCGTGAAAAAAGAGGGCCCATGGCCATGTCTGCAGTCTGCGCCCCTCCAAACAGCGAGACCTCCCCCAGGCCCTCGTGCAGTCATCAAGCTGATTCTTGAAGATGCATTCCAGGGCTCACGAAAGCTCCATCAAAAAAAGCATTATGAGGCCCAGCTGAGCAGCACAGGGTGAGGGACGGGTGTGAGTTACGCAGCTCTGTTACGAAGCGGGGGTTCCTTTCTCTTGAGGGCCGGGCTCGGGCTCCCAGGCGGGCCGGGCCCGGGCCTTGCCGGCTCGCGCTGCTGTGACCCGGGCCGTGTGAAGGGTGCGTTCACGTGTTGTCTTTGCTTTCTCTCGCAAAACGTGTGCTACTGCAAGGGGGTGGGCTTAGTCACAGTAACTTCCCCTTCGCGGAGAAGTCAGAGCTCTCAGGGTTCGCAGTTGAAGGATCAAGTTAGAGTAGAAGATGAGCGACCTCTTGGAATGTGCAGCTCTTGTGAGCTTCTGACTGCGCATCGCCGCCGTCGAGGCTTCAGCAAGACACATGAAAGACAAGAGGTACAGTGCCCCTCAGCCCTGAGTTTTAACGGAGTCTGTTCGGAGTCCATGAGTTTTGGAGACGAGATAAGACAAGGCACCAACTATTCTGCGCTCTCTAGGAGCAGCGTGGCAGGCCTTCGCCATTTAAGTCCACACCCTTGAGCCCATTGTTTGTAATCTCTTAAGCCTCAAACTGCCGTCGCAGCTTCATGGGAGCTGGGAAAAGCGGGCGCCTTATTTAGGAGCTTGGCAGGCACCTGGCGTCGCGACAGCATGGCCGCTTGCTGAACCGCAGTCTCATCATGTCATCTCAGGCGTGCACGTGCGCGCACGGATTTCTACTGAGCAGGGCGGTCAGATGAAAATAAGGTGCCAAACCAGCAGCCAAGTGCTCCCCCACCGTTTGCAGCAGAGTCTTGGGAGATCCTTCCGCAAACTTCCGGCCCGCCTTTGGGTTCTGACCTTCCTCAGCCTCTCCAGGTATGAGAAACCTACTGCACCGTCAGCGGGGAGGCGCTCCGAGTAGAAGATGAGCTATGACAGCCATGGGTGCAGCTGCAGGGAGTGCTTCGGCTCCACAGCCCAATGCGAAGTTCAATCTTGAAGCCCGCCAACATTCCCTTCTCCAAACCCAAAGGCCTTAAAGCGGATTTTGGGTTCGGACCCACCGAATTTCCTGTCCGAAGGCCCGAAACGGGAACGGCCTGACTAACACCGGATTTGGATCGGAGACCCACCAAAAAATTCCCTAGAAAGGCAGCAAACCTGATAAGAGGTTGTCAAGCCGCATGAACCCCTTGGCGCGAACAGCTCCAATTCGGATTTATCGAGCTTCCTCGCACAGAAGGTTACCCGGATACAGTAGTGGAATGTAAACCAACCCAAACTCACCACGCCAAACCCGTCCCATTCTGCCCACTCGGCTTCACATGGAAGTTGCTTTGGTGAGTCTTGGCTTCATTCGCACTTTCCCAGATCTTTATGGTCCCCAAGGGCCGTCGGCAACTCACAGAGATCCCCAGAAGAACCCGAGAGCCCCCCACAGGCCCACAGAGGCCCCCACAGACCCCGAAGGGATACCAAGGGATAGCTGGGCTTCCGGGTAGAGGCACAGACTCTTTTGCTGATCGATAACAGGGTCGTCAAGATGATGACCGCGACTGGCTGTTTGCAGGAAAAGGAAGATCGAAGTCGAGGGTGCAACTGGTTCCTGGCAGTTCTTGAGAAGCACAATCAACAGAAACCCCAACCTTCGCCCAAGTTCTGAGAAAGCTTTGTGACCCCACTGGCCGAGTGGAGCCATTCAGGTCGATAATCGCGAGCTCCCAGAAGCCGAAAACCTGAATCTGATCTGAGCTGGCTCTCTTTGCAGGGCTTGGGAAGCTTCAGGCCACGAGCCCGGTTGCACCATGAGCAGTTTCAATGGGCATAAATCAAGTGAAAAATGCTGCAGTCAGCAACCCTTGAGCCCTTTATGAGGTTCAAAGGACAGTGCAGGACTTCGGGCAACTGCATCGAAGGAGGAGTCCAGTCCCCAAGTCGCAACAGCTCCAGCTTCCCATCCCGACGCAGAGTGCCAGGCCCAGACCAAGCGGCGGCAGCGCCAGCGGCAGCGCCCCGCGCCATGCATCGGCGAAGGCATCTTCGTCGAGTTGGTCAGCTTGTGCGCGTTCCCGGCAAAAGTCGTTTTGGTCATCCACGATGAGGGTCAGTTGTGCACTTGTTTTGGCAGTATGCGGCCGGTCCATGGTCTTAGCATCATCTTTCCAGGCATTGAATTGTCACTGCATCAGCAAGCAGTGCCGAAGCGAGCTGGTGCCACAACGCAAGTCAATCCAGCTCCGTAGCACGGTGCACACAGTCACTCGGCGTTTTACTGTGTAAGTGCACTTTTGCCGAATCCGCAATTTTGTCCAGTCCCCGTGGTTGCGGTTACTTGGGTTGACCGCTAAACTGATACTTGTCTGCATACTGACCATCCCGTTGAACCTCTGAATCCAGATCTGGCCAGGTGATGAACGTTGCCGAGCTTGCTCCAGGCGATGATGAGGCAGGTACGGTCCTGTCTGCCGCCCTGCAAGAGCTTCGAGACTGATCCGTGCCCCAAGACTCAGCCACGTCGAGGTCGAGCGGAGCTTCAAAGAGGAGATGCACTCTGCGAGGCAGGGATTCGGAGCTTTGGGGATTTCGGTCCGGTGACTGTACAGCTTTCCCGGTCTCTTCGCGTTTGCAGAGGACGCGCCCGGCCGGCATCGAGCCGTCGCCTCGCCTCGCTTTGGGCACAGCAACAGAAATCTTCCCACAGCACGCTCCTACTTCTGAAGCGGCTCAGGCAGACCTTTTAAATGTCCGTACGATCATGCATGGCAACCTGTTCAACCATTCCGGGCTCAATGCGTGAAAGAGGATGGTTTCAAGTCACGTTGGGACCCGTCAAGAACTGCAATCTGCCGGATGCTGCCAGGTCACCAGCATCAGGACTTGGACAGTGGAGTGTTTCGGAGTGTCGGAACTCTTGCTGCGATAGCACAAGCATGCACAAGCCATGAGCTTCTTGGGCTGTGCGACCACATGACTACATATAATATTCCTCGCGACAGTGCAGGAAGCAGAAGAAAGGCTGGAGTTTGAGTTCAGTTCAGCCGAGTGTCGATATGGCCTAGCGATATTTCTGCATCATTCGAGGGGCCGGAAACCCGCAGTTTGGCGCCACAAAGGCCGGACTGTGGCGCTTCTAGCATGAGCCTTCAGAAGGACACATTGGCTTGCCCCTTTTCAGGCTGGCGCCAGATGCCCGCGGCTCTCCAGCCAAACATGGCCAGGCAGACTGTAGGAAGGGCGGGATGGAGCGGTGCCAGCGGACATGTTGCAGATGTTTTGGGGCGTGTCAAAGGCCCGTTATGGCGGCTATGACGGTCGCGACCTCGATGCCGTGGCATGCCGTGGCTTCGGCCCAGGCTCGCTTTTTTCCCGTGGGAGACTCTTCCGAGGCAAAGCTGCAGATGCCGACGAAGGCGAAGCCCAGATGGTCTAACCTCGAAGAGTTCTCTCTGCCTTCCGCGCAAGGCAAGTCACCCGTTCAGGGAGCCACACTTCCGGAGCCATGGACCAGGCGCCAGCTTCGGACTTGGATCTCTTCTGGTCGGACACGCGAAGATGAAAAAGCTTGGCCCTTCACCGCCTGGCCTAAGCAAGACCAGGGGCTCTAGGAAAGCCACGAAGGCTAAACCCGGCTGTGCAGCACCGTCGAGCGCCAAACATGCTAAGATCGAGCCGACTACTATAAAACGTCTCTGCCTGAGGAAGGCATGCGTAATCGCACAAGCCCGTGGGCTTCCCTTGCAGAGTCCACTCCTTCGCCGTGTGCCGCAGCTTGAATTGATGTTCCCCTCTCCGGCCGGAACGTGCGCCATAGCCCCAACTCCACGACTGGCAAAGGGAGAACGTTCCGTGCAAGTTCGCTTGCTCCTAGGCCCTTGACGGTCTCTGCAAACTCACACTCCTTGCTATCTCTGCAGCGCTGCCATCGGTCTTTGCATGCATACACTCACGGACAGACATCCCTCGCCCTGCGCAGCAATTTGTATGCTGCGTGCAAGACAGGGTTTTGCAATGCGGTTTCCGCACAAAGTGCGAGTGGATCTAAGACATGGTGAGAGTGCAAGAAGCGGGGCCTCTGTGCCCCGCAGCTCGGCGGCCAGGCGTCTGGCCAACACGATGATCCTGCACACCGTGCAGAATTCGATGTCCCGGACCGAGCTTCATCGGAGGGCTGCCGGTATTTCCAGGGCTTTGCAGCATTGCTGTGGTTTCTTGGTCTGCACCATTAAGAGCAGCCTTGCCGGAAACTGTAGAAACGGCATCAACAAGAGAAGCTGCCAAGGAGTGCTGTGGAGAAAAGCTTAGGCCCTAGCCTGAAGCCAGGGTCTGCAAGCGCCAGTACCAAGGATCCTTGCAACTTACCTCCTGGAGCTTCTCACAAGTGGCTCCTCGTCCGCAGAAAGGCAGCTTGCTAGGTCACCTCGGAGGATTCTCCAAGCAGAGGCTTTGGTACGCTGATGTGACCCCATCTAGTCAACGAACCCCCAAAGCCGGAAAGCGCAGGACAGGTTCCAAGGCTCTCCGTGACCCTGTTACTCCAAGGCTACGGCGCCAGGAGCGCTTTGCACATCGCTTGCTGGGAGGGATCCCTGTCGGCGGTGCAGGCTTGAACCGTGTGATCCATGCTTCGTGATTCTGGAGAACTGCGCAGCACATCAAGCTTTCTGCCATATGTGTTAGGCCGCTACTGTAGACATGTACTTTTTTCGTGGCGGGCCTCCTATCAGCCTGCATTTGTTGCAAGCGGGCGACACTTTACATAGGATGCGCAGAAGAACATAAGTGAACCGCGGCACTTTCCACAGAACCGTTTGTCTTCGGAAATGGCAAGGGAGGCGTCCAAAGACACATCTCTCTCATTCCGGAGCCGTCCTCTTACTGATCGCTCCTTCAATTTTGGCAGATCTCCTTTGGTCGGTGCTCAGTAGGAGGCCAACACGTGACACACGTTCCTCTTTGCTAGCTCTCCACGAAAGCTGCCCCTTTGGCGCAGGTCGTGGCCAACGGCTCAAAGAAAGCCGTTCAAGACTGGTCCGACCCTCAGGCTGAGGATTTTGGGTCGCAATGGGTCGCAGTGCAGCTTGCAGAAAAAGCTGGACTCAAGCGGTACAGTGTACCGACCCGCTCCCTCCGGGTTCCAGAGAGGCAGAAGAGACAGAGAGAGAGGGAGAGAGAGACGCTCTCAAAACCTCGGGCCCGCAACCCTGTCGAAAGAAAGAGAGAGAGCGTCTTCCGCCCTTTGCCCAGAAGAAGAGCGTCTTCCGTCCTTTGGAAAATAGTAGCCTAGCTGAATGTGTCGCTCGGCACATGAAACCTTGTAATGCTTGCTTCGCTCTGAGGCACCAGCGCAAGGGAGATTTGACTCCGCTGCACATTGCTGCGATTTGCAGCCATGCGGAGGTGCCCGCTACTCCGGTATGCCAAGCTGTAATGTACAATAATAGTCTGCTCCCGGGCATCGGCGATGTTCTGATCGGTTAGGTTGCCGAGCTTTTGCTGGGCTACGACATCGATCCGGACATCAATACCGTGCGGAGCCTTACTCGCAATTCTCCTAAAAACAGGATCTGCGAATCTGCGTCGTAGGGGAAAGTGTCGACTCTTCGCACTTTGCTGGTCAAATGAGTCATTGAATAGCACGATGGTGTGAAATGGTCTTGTGTGAATGTGTAGCTGCGGAAGCTTCAATTGCAGTCTGCATGCCAGTCAATATAGTGTGCATCTAAGCGGGTTGTTCGCCACTTTCCGCACTGCCTGGACTGAGCCCAGGTGCATCAGCTACGGTCGCTGGTCCCTCAGAAAGAGTAGAGTCGTGCCTAGACAGAACCTGCCCAGACCGGTGCGCATCGCTTCCAGGCTTCACATCTCTGCCACCTCCAGCACTGATCTTTGTGAAGTGCTGATGTCCAGCAGAGCAGACATCGCCGCGCGCACAGCAGATCAGGACTCCAGAGCAGAAACATGTAGCAGACATGGAAGGTTTACTTGACAGGGTTCATCCGGCAGGATACCCCGCTCCACTTTGCCAATTGCTTCCAGCAGCTGGACACCATCGAGCTGCTCTTGAAAGCAGGCGAGGCAGTGGGGCTCAAGACCTGCACGGCCATCAGCATACGATGGGAAGAAACTGCGCCTCGTGCCACAAGATGTAGTGTAGAGTGTGGACTATCCAGTCTTGAATATCGGGGCAAGTGACGTGCAAAGCGTGACGATGACACTTGAGGGTTGCATTCAGGCGCAGATGCCTCGGCCGCAAACAACTTCGGCGTGGTTCCGCTGCATGCATCCCGACTGCTCATAGCAGGGAACCCGAACCCTTCGGGAAGTAGGCCTGGGGCGAGCTTGGTTTCTCATGCAAATGTGAGTGAGCAATTGTTCAACGCAGCGAGGAAGCCACCCTAAGCCACCCAGAACTCGTACTGCAACTGCAAGCTGTAAAAACGCTTGCCGAACCTGAAGCACCTCAGCAAAGTTGCTTCCTGGCTGTCTTTTTCTCTAGACTTGTGTGAATGGGACAGGTAGCTGTGGCTTATGCCGGCCTTGAGCGACTCGAGTTGCGAGAGGCCGAAGCGATAGATCTGATGGTTCCTGGTGCAGTTGAGGTGCAAAGTGCAAGGCTCTCTCAGGCTTGACAGCATAGATCATGAATACAGTGGCTTCAGGCTACTATGAACGTCAGTTCTGTGCTGGGCAGGCGAAGGCAACGCTGTTGCTTTGCGCCTATGGCGCCAAACTGGATGCCAGGCACAGTTCAGCTGCACAAAACAAGATCGCGAGGCTTAAAAGCATACAGATTCAGATTAACCTCTGTTTTGTCCAAGAGAAGCACCTAGGCATAGACTTCCTCCAAGATCTCCGGTTTTTGATGTGCAGTCAGTGCGTCTCGAACGCCAGGGACCATCATGGCCACACGCCTGCCGCGGTGGCACGGATGGCAGGCAGCTCACGGCATGTGTGTGAGAAGGGCACGGTTCAAAGCATTCCAAGCACTGTTCCGAGCGAGGCGCTCACAGTTCCTTGATCGACTTCCTGGAGTCTGCAAGTATCCGTCTCAGACAATGTGGAGCCTGCCTGGGGAACCTCGCTGCCTCCAACCTAAGACAGAGGAACTTCTGGGGGTAAGGAGCAGGTGTTGGCTGCGGGCACTCGTAGGAGGCGTCGAGGAGCAGGTGCCGGAAGACTGTCGTCCTCGCGGTCCTGGCACTGTCAACACTGATTGTTTCCCGCTAGTGTCTCCTTACTGGTCTCATCCGTCCATCCATCCATCTATCTATCTTCCTATTTTATGTGCAGTTATATATATATATGTATATATATGTACACATACATACATACATACATACATACATCTTCCCACGCCACGAAAGGAATCCGCGCTGCCATAGGCGACGTCACGTTGGCATCTCTAAAGGAAGCGTGCTGGTTCTTCCAGCACCCTGACTCTGCCAAGCAAACATGTGGGGTCGACCTTGTTGTTTGTTACGAGAACAGTACATACATAGACTGGAATAAACTAAGCTACAATGCACACAAGAATGATTGCCGGCCCGGCGTGATCCGCCCAGTAAGCGACCGGAGTTGGTCAGACCCTGTGGTTAAATCTCCCCGGAGGGACTCGGTGTCAGATGACAAGCTTGTGGACTGGGCTGTAGGGGCACAATATGGTAACCATAGGAACAACAACTAGCGTTGAACCAGACACAAAAATAAGAACAAAAGAAAGCACGACCAAAAGTTTAAGCCCCTCTTGCCTATTCTGTGCCAAAACTGTACAGCTATGAGGGCACCCTGTGCATGAAAATCAGGTAGGCGTTCTCGCAGACCTCACTATCGTGACTTTCAGAAGCAGGTCTTGCAGTCCTATTGTCATCAGTAGCTGGGTCAGGTTTGAACTTAATTTTTAATTTTTGCTGGTGGTTGGGTTTTGGCTTGTTGTTTTTCTTTACTAGTATGTGAAAGACATGCATGCATGCATACATACATATATGTGTGTGTATCTATGTATGTACGTATATTTTTATACACATACATGCATATGCATTATGCATTTGTTTGTTTATTTGTTTATCTATTGAAGTTTTTCATTAACTAATTTATTCATTCATTCATTAATTCATGCTTGTATTTTGGTTATATGTTGTATACATGTTTCATAGATATATTTATATTTGCATACTTCTATCTATCTAATCTGTCTATCTACCTATCTACCTATCCGTCTATCTTTCTCTCTCTCAATCAATCAATCAATCGATCAATCAATCAATCAAGCTATCTATCTATCTATCTGTCTATCTATATCTATAGCTATAGCTATATCTGTATCTAAATCTATATATATATATATCTGTGTGTGTGTGTGCGTGTGTGTGTGTGTGTGTGTGCGCGTGCGTGCGTGTGCGTGCGCGTGCGTGCGTGCGTGCGTGCGTGCGTGCGCGCGTGCGTGCTTGTGTGTGTGTGTGTGTGTGGGGGGGGTGCACATGCTTGTACCTACGTACATGCTTCACCGTTCTCGACTTGAGGGAAGTGGATTTACACTAAAGCGCTGGAAGTTGAACTCTAGGTACTTGGTGCATATACTGGTACTTGCTAGCACATGTGCGCCACCTGCACTGTCTGCATACCCTCCGTACTGTGTCGTACAATAGCACCGGAGAATCTAGACCCATCTCTTCTTGAAGTGCGAAGGTTCAGGACAGGTTCTTCTACGTCGCATTACTCTTGCTAGTAGTTGCAGCGGTAGTAGCAAGAGGAGAAGCAGGACAAGAAGGGGGAGCAGTTGCCGTACCAGTAGTGAAAGTGGTAATAGTCTGTAGTAGTCGTTGTCGGCAGCGGTTTTCTTACTACTCAGCCCACACCGATATGCAAGGCGAGGACCATCAGGCGACTGCACAGGATTTGCTGAATGCTGTGGACGAGGTGCCTCTGTACATGTGTACACGGATGACTCAGCAATTTGCATACCCTTGCCGGGTTGCTATGTTGTGCATGGCGAACGCAGGAGATCTTTCTTGCAGAAGGGCAGAACCTAGTTAAGACTCCTACTCCGAATGTGCTGGCAACTTGTCCGAGGGAACCTTACGTACAGCTGACCAGTCCAAGCCAGGAGGCGGAAGACTTCGCTTCCAGCTCCCTAGCGCTGAAGGCTGTCAGCTTCGGTGCATTTGCCCAAGCCTCGAACGATTTCGGTTGCGACCGGACAGGCCATGCAGAGCGAGAAAACCGCAGGCTCTGAGGGTTGGGGGGGGGCCGACAGCGATTGAGTCGCTGTCACAACACAGAAGCCAACCTTATCGCGTCGTTCTGTCTTTTGAAGTGCATGGCCAAGAGGTGGCAAGTTCTTTTGTAAGAAGAGTTGTCAAAATTTGCAGCGTCCTCTCCAGGAAGTGAGGGATGGGCGCCACCGTCCCCCAGCGTGGCAAGGGCGAGAGCGAACTCGCTCTGAGCTCAGAACCTGTGATTTAGATCTTGACAGCGATGTCTGCATGGAACAGAGTAAGAGGGAACATGGAACGAAGCCACAGAATGCCAGGTATGCTGGACAAGATATGCAGCTGACCGAGGACGCCAGCTGGGAGAGCTCCCTGTGAAAGCGTTGCCGCAGCATGTGAGCATAGAATCTAAAGGTCTCTGTGAATTGGTCTAGTATATGAACCGATTTAAGGGTAGTAAGCAATGACTCCGTGAAGATTTGGCGATGGCAACGCAAAAGGAATACAAAGTCCCGCGAAAGCTATTGCATGAAAGATTCCGGGCATTTAAGACTTATAGAGAACACGCCGTCATGCTGAAGACGACGCGTCCGTTATAGCGCGTAAGTCGGCGAAGACAGATCTGAATCTTGGCAAGGTGGGCGGTGGGGGCGGCGGCGAGGCGGTGGAGGGTAGGGGGGTCGTCTCGCTGGGAACGAGTAGAATACCAAGCACATCAACGAGGGAAACGAAGGAGAGTGGAAAGTCTGGGAGGGGGGGGGGGGCTAGAAGCCAGGGGNNGGGGGGGGGGGGGGGGGGCTAGAAGCCAGGGGCTGGTGAGCGACGAAAGGGCTGTGGCTGGTGAGCCGGGTGGCCTCGCTGGGAACGAGTAGAATACTACTTATTAGTAAGAAACCAAGTACGCGGGGGAGGGGGGGCGGGGTGCAAAAAGAATTCGAGATTTCGCGAAAAGCCCGCTACCCGAACAGATAATATTGATCAACCCGCATGTCTCTGTAGCACTGTTTGATTATCCCTGGCGCCGCTGGAATTTCAGCGAGTCTCGGCAGGAATGAAGGTGAGTTTGGCTTCGTGTACAATATGCAGTGACTTGCTGTGAAGGAATGCCCTGGCAGGAGAACTCGCGCTTATCACAGGAGACCAAGCGGCTTCAGAAGGAGCTTGATGAGCACCTTCGGCAGCACATGGACTTGATCCAGTAAGGTTCATGATGGGCCCGGCCAGAGCCAGAACCAAGATGCCTTCTGTGCTCAGGGCTCGGGCGAACATCCGGCACCTTCAAGGACACTTCTGCGATGTGCTCCGTCGTGCTGCCCAAGATGGCTGCCTGATGGCAAAGGACTGCTCGACCAGAGCAGGTCAACCATGGAGCGACTGAAAAGCGCGGACCCCCGGAAGAGACATCTGCAGCTCGGCGCCCAAAAGGCCGGGCCTCCCGGCTGTTTCTCCCAGGCACCCGTCTCAGCGTCTCGGAGGCTCCCGGGGCAGAGGCCGCGATCCCATTGCGCGGCTGGGGCGCTTTGCGGTGTGTCGACCTTCAGTTCGACCTTCGTTTCAGGCGTTCCAGGCCGTCCGGGACGACATGGAGAAGGACCAAACCGAAGCGAATCGGCAAGCCTCGAAGTCTTCCTTTCGCGTTTTGAAGGAGATGGGCGAGCTCCGGCAGCGACAAGAAGATCTGGGCTTCGACCTGAGTGCTAGCCTGGCATACCTTAGGAATTTGAAAAAGAGTTTCCGTGCTGTCTGAGAGGTTGGGTTGTGAGCGCAAGGCCAAAAGACCAATCCACCAATTGTGAGGTCCTGGCAGGTCAAGCCGAGTAGCACAGCTGAGGCAGAGATCGGGATAGCTGGCTGCAGGACTGCTGGAACCGGAGTTCACAAGTCAGGAAGGCGGCATCTAAACGCGCCAAGCGCCAGCATGCGCCAGCGCTTGCCCAGGAGCGAGAGTCCTTGCTCCGGCAACTGGAGGAGGCGGCCGAGAAGCAGGAACGAGCCGAGGCCGGCGCCGGCTCGGAGTCGGGTTCGAAAAGTGGAGCCGCAACTTTGCAAGAAAAGGCCACCGTGAAGCGCATCACGGCAGAGCGCAACGAAGCCTTTGAGCGAACTGCGGTCAAGGAGTCGAACATCATGCGGTCGTTTGGGAAAAAGCCTGCAAAGAGAAGTCACTGAGCTGTAGCTGCTGTTGGACTGTCCTTGCAGGGGATGTTCCGCAGAGCAGAGCATGTTCCGAGCTCGAGTCCTGGCATCCAGGACGTCTCAAGGCCGTCTTCGGCGGTCACCCGACAGGCCAGATGACCGGTGCAGAGGGAAATCCGAGAGATGACAGTCCCGACTCTTCGTGGTTGGCCGGAGCCGCAGGGTGCAATTGGCAACAACCTGAACTCCCGCCGATTCCTCTCTGGCTCTTGCCAACAGGCTGCCGAACAAGCGGCCGCGCAAGACGCTCCGAACTTGGTGCATGAAGCCACCTTCGATGCGACTGCGATTATGCTGAAAGCCTATGGCCGTCGTGGAAAAGGTGGCTTCAGGTTGCCATAAATCGAAAGCAGTCGTGATTGCAACGACGTCTACCTGATCGATCTTTCACGGCTGGCAAAGGCTGCGCTCTTTGCCAAAGAAGAAGCCCTGAGTCAGAAGGCTCGCGGTGCAGATACCATACACACGATTGTGAAGAGCATTTGCTGCTAGCAGCAGGTTCAGCAGTTCAGGAGTTTAGCGCGGTTCAACTAAGACGGAGCGGCATCCGTTGCCTTTTGGACCAGGATGCAGAGCTGCAAGCAAAGGCGCAAGCTGAGCAAGAGGCCGCGAAAAGTGAAAAGCTTGCAACATCTTGCAACCCGTGGCGAGTCTTGGAGTCTTTCAAAGGCCCTGGAGGCCCTGCAAGCCAAAGATGCTGAGCTTGAGCGTGCGGCCCTCGTCAGAATGTCATCAATATCATTTTGGCATTGAGAGCAAGAAAAAATTCCAATGCTCCAAGGCCTCACCGCTGAATTGCAAGCGATGAAGTCTCAAGCGGACCGCTCCGGCAAAGATCTGGAGGACATTGCTGCGTGGCCCGCTGTCCTGCCATTCTCCCTCAGTCTCCTTCAGCCTTCAGGAGAGATCCGCCGAGCTGTCCCAAAAAGAGGCAGAGAAGTCGCACTGGCAGAACGTCTTGAAGCCGCCAAGGGGCCAGCATCGTTGTGCGTCTCCAGGCCGACGTGCTGAGCCGCAAGGCTGAGGTGCAGCGCCTGAACGGCGAGCTCGAGCGGCAGGCGAGTCGGGTTTGGCCTGAGGGAAGTTTCCTTCCGACCCATTCGACCACAGGCGGGTGAGAAGGAAGAGATGTGGACTCTTGGCCGCAAGCTCTCAGCGGCATGCAACCACAGAACTCAAGACACCAACTTCGGAAGGTCGCAAGGTTGCAAGACGCCTTCCAGCATCCTGCGACATCTTGCATATATCATTCTTTCAGCGGGGCTGTCCTCGGCTGCCATGCAAGTAATGTCAGTGCTGTGGGTTGGGCGTTGCTTGTCCTTTTGTGCATCCTTGCTTGGTGGTGTGCTACCAACTGTTTTTGACCCTGAAAACAGCAGACTGAACCGCGAACGCCATGTCTCAAGTTATTCCCGTTGGCCAATGTCCCGTCTGTGGCACAATTCGATCTTGGGGCTATGTAGTGTTTGGCCTTGTCAGCCTAAGAACATCCGATTGTTCCCTTGCACACATCAGTGTTCTTTCCGACTCGTCTGCTTCACTGCACGGCTCTCCCCGATTTGGAGACTCGTACTGCTGGTCTTTCTGCAGAGAGCTCGAGCTTAGGAAGAACCTCACTGAGCTGCGAGCGCAGCATAAGGAGCGCATGGGAACTTCGACGATGTTTGCCTCGTTTGCCGCAGATAAAACATGCGGTACAGCATGGCACAGCGCAGGAGCTCAGGGAGCAGCAGAGCAAGACCAGCCAAGAGCCCCTCACTTGAAGCCTCGCTTTTTTGCGACTTCTTTGGCTTCCGAACGTGCGTCTCCTGCCGGCGACATGCGCGACAAGCTGTGCATGCACTGAGGCTCGGAGCCGTGCAGATGCAGCTGCAGGAGAGAGAGGTGGAATGGTGGAGTCTTTCATATACATGACGACGAGCTGCTTCTTAAGTGCGCATGCCTACAAGTTGTGACAGTTCGTCAGAAGTCTCTTCCGCTGTGATCAGGTGGAGCTGGAAGGTCAGTTGAAGGAGAAGGACCAGACAAAGCAAGCCGAAAGAAGAGGATGGGATGGGACCGAAATGCACCTGTGTCCCAGGAGCTGACCATCCAAAAGCTCGAGGAAGATGCACAGCAGTTGACCGGCCAGGCTCAGTCCTCGGAAGAAGAACACAGCGCCGCTTTTTTTTTGTCGTTCCGGGGGCACCTTCGTTTCGAGGTGGCGGAGCTCAGCGGCGTGCGGGAACGGGCAGAGCAGGCAGAGAAGATGCCCGGCGCTGAGATCTCCTGAACCTCTGCGGCCGCTCGGCCTTCTGTCCTAGGCTGGAGCCTTGGAAGAAGCGGACCGAAGAAGTTCATGAAGCCTTCCAGAAGGAGCTGCAGTAGTCATGTAAGTCTAGTCATATTTAATTTCAACTCAGCCAGAGCCAGACAGCAGAGAGAAACTTTTCCAAAGCCCCAGCATGCAGGAGCAGGCGCTTCGAAAGCGGTACCACAATCAGATGCAGGCACCAAAGTGGCTCAAGAAGAAGCTTTGTAAGAGAAGACATAGGCCTCACCGTTCTTTAAACCTGCAGGACATGAAAGGTGCCATTCGTGTCTTCGCAAGAATACGCACCTCGGAACCTTGAAACAGTGCAAAGCAGAGGAGTTGAGATCAGGTTGAGATGTCTCTCCCATGCTTGTCGAGTTCTGATGGCAAGGTCCCAAAGTTTCCCGAGAAGCTGATCAAGAGGCAGGGCGCGTGCGCTGTGCCTTACTAGCCGCTGGCCCGAGGTTTGTCCAGAGCTTCTGAACGTCTCGGATCTTGCATGCCAGCAGACAACCGAAATCTGTTGCCTGCAGATCTCCGTCTGGAGACGGGATGCCTTTTCACTGGAATGTGCCGCGAAAGACAAGAAGTCGACCGCGAAGGATGGACCTGGCGCTGTCAAGCTTAACCTCTCAGTATCTTGGCTGGCCGCTGGCAGGACTACAACTTCGACGCTGTCTTTGATGAGCTCCTCCGGCTAGATTTCGTCCGGAGTCGCAGTTCGGCTGCCCAAAAAACGGGCCAGGCACAACAGTCAAGAGGACGTCTTCGCTGACTGCCGTGGATTGATCGGCTCGGCCGTCGACGGCTTCAACGTCACCGTGCCCCGGCCTCGGCCTGGACTCGCCTCGGCAAAAGAGCTGCTCCTCCTTTTTCTCTCTTTCTCTTGGGCGCTTCTCAGCTTCGCCTACGGCCAAACGGGCGCCGGGAAGACCCACACCATGTGCCGCCCCCCCCATTCAAGCTCTCTCTGAGTGCGGCGCGAGCGCACCCTGTTTTGTTGACAAAAATCTGCCCACGGAAGGTACGGGAACGAGGTCCGCGAAGCTCGTGTTCAAGCTTCAAGTTCGAAGTGATCACACTATTCCTCACAGGCCATGCCTGGCTTGGTTCCACGGGCCGCAGAGGACAGAACGTGCGACTCGTACATACTCGTACACTTGATCGGGCCCTTTGTCAAAATGTGGCAGTTCAGTTCAATCTCTTGTCATTGAACCGATCTAGGCCCAGGCGTGCCTGGGGCCCGCTTGCGACAGCTGAACTTCTAGACGTGCTTAAATTCAGCAGGCAGGCGAGGCGAGACAGCAAAGCGGTCCAACTAGTCTCGTTTGCTGATGGCCGAGCCCGACATCAGGAGCTTTTCGCGGTGTTAGGTGTCGTCCTCAGGCAGAAAGCCACGTGCCTGTGCCGTGCATCTGGCTGATAGAGCTGTAGCCTTGAGCGCTCCTTTTAGGTAGGAGATTCTGAGAAAACTTGGTTTACCTTGGACATTTTGGACTCAGGGGCTTTTGGATTCCCGAAGTATTCAGAAACATAGAAATATCCGTGAGCACCGCATGTCAGCTGAAAACGCTGCGCAGAAGCATGGGATGAGGAAGTTGGTTTGCAATACTCTGAAACACCGAAGTGCATAGCATGACAAACAGCAACTGCGGTAACCTGTAACGGATGGGAAACCTTATTCAATCGATGGTGCTCTTCCTTGAGGACGTTATGCCCACGAGTGCGAGTCGAAAGTCCTCTGTTCGATGTTTGAGCTGCGACCCGAGCTCCGTGTGCACCAGGATCTCTCTCGCATAAGCCGGCTCCCTCTTACTCTTGCAGTCGTACTACCGAAAAGATAAGCGAAGCTGTGCCGCGCAGCTGAAGGCTCTACCGTGACGACTTAGTTGACCTCCTCTTCACGAAAGCCAAGGCGCAGCGGATCCCTTCGACCTGTTGAGGGATGCAGGGTTCAGACTGGTCCTAAGCCTTCTGACGGGGTTTGGGAATGGAGTCATAAGTGTCCCTTTTGCTCCGCTTCAGGGCAAAGCCCCTCCGGTCCTGGACATAAAGAAGGATCCGAGGGGGACCGTGAAGGTGCCGCAATGCTTTCCGCTTGCTCTTTTGCGAGGCATTGTTCGTTTTCATTTGCGCCCTGCCAGGTGGAGAATGCGGTCGAAATCGAGGCACTGACAAACTGTTCGCAGTCACCGACTGGATTGTGAATAGCAGGTGACCAATCCCGACGAGCTGCAAAAGACAATCAGCACGGGCATGGACCGGCGGCATGTCGTGTCCCGAGTACAAAAAACTGGAGGTCAGCCCATGGCTGGTCAAGACACGTAGCAGAGGCTTGGACAGCAGAGCCCAGGTCGCGGCTACGAAGATGAATGCAGACTCCTCCCGGTGACTCGCCAAGGGGAGACAGTATTGTAGTGCAGCTCGTGAAATGCGGCGCTGTTGAGGGGTTGTGGTAGCCGATGCGAAATTGGGGCCGACACAAAGGGCAAACTCTCCAGAAGCCAGTGGGCAGGCTCTCCGAGATGAAAAACAGGCAGACATAAAGGCTGTTAAAGTCGCGGACAACTCAGCGCGCAAGAAGTTGATAGAGAAGATCAGAAAAGAGAGTTCGTTTGCATTGCCGGGGTTCCCATACATTCAGCAATTCCGCGTGACAGTCTAAGGCAAAGAGCAAAGAGTCAACAGCAGGGGAAACTAACGAATGCATAGTAAAGGGTGAAGAGCAAGAAGCACAAACAGTAAGTACGCAATCTAAAGAGAGGTTACATTATATAGTAACTTAGACCAGGTTGTACAGTGCACAGAGCTTTTCTTCACGACTCGGAGAGCCTTGCCTGCATGCAAACAGCTGCTTAAGCTCGTTGTAGATCTCTGCAGGTCAGAACACGTCGCACCGGTCGTAAAGCCATATGCAGATGTCAGGTCGCATTTGATCTTCATCGTCACCATTGAGTCTGTGAACAAGAAGTCGAAGCAGGAGGGGCGGACAGCGCATGCTTGATGGATCCGAGCTCTTGTTCTGTCTCTTATCCGGGTCCCTGTCGCACGTTTTTCTTTGAAGCAGCAGCTCCTACAGTTCTCGACCAGTAAGGTTGTGTCCCCTGCTTTGTAGGTTCATGTATTAAGTATTTGGGGCATTTCCCGTGCAGGTCTCTACCGGCAAGCTGACTCTTTGCGATCTGGCAGGCCGAAATGGTCTTAACTTTCTTAACTTTCGAGCAGGCATTCTAAAAGGCCGTTGCGCCAGAGGCATCTTGCCTTGGAATTTGAAAGTGCTTGCATTCTGTGCAAGGGTCCTTGCAGCCTCGTCCCAGCCGGTCTCAGCTCCCTGCAACCCAGAGTCTGGGAATTCTGACTTAACTGCGAGAGGTAAGATGGGGCAGACAAAGCACTGCGAAGCATGTGCCACGGACGTTTTCAAGGACCCGAGAATTGAGGTTAACGGTGCTAGTCTTACCATCAACATGTCAGGTAGAGACTGAAGGTCCTTACGAATACACCTCTAAGCGTGGTCGCATGGCAGAAAATCACAGGGGCCGAACCGCCGGCGGCCTTTAATTGTCCTTGCGACCATAAATACTCGCAAACCCGTGCCTCCTTCATTCTGTATACATGTGTCTATCTAGTCTATTTCACGCTTGTTTCTTGTAGGCACACGTCTCAACCCTCCTGGCGAAAGGCTCCGAGCGGCTGAAGAAGAGCGAAGTGACAGGCGAGCAGATGAAGGAGGCCTTGCTCTCCAGTGGAGATTCTGAGAAGCCCGACTGTTGCATTGCTCAAAAGCAATCGGGATCGGAAGAAGTCAAGAGAGTCTTTCGAGCAGAGATGCTGAGAAGCGTGGGCGGTTTCTGCTCTTGGCTCTCTCGATTGCATTCGCCGGTGCAGGCTCAGTCCATCAACAAGTCGCCCGAGTCCCGGACACATTGGGCAGTGATTGGTGCTGGCAAACCTCCCCGTCCCATTAAAGCCAAGAGAGCCACCTCTGACTGCCTTCGGCAGGTTGACGGCACTTGGCGATGTCATCGAGGCAGATGCGATACCGGATTGCTTGCATAAGAGGCTGTAATTCCATCGTCGCGGCAGCCAGCCACGAGACTTGCACACTATGCAGATCTAGACGGCATATGACGTCAATACGGCAAGGCTGCTTCCAGGATACATGCGGGCAGGTGTGGTGGTATTCCCAGCAATGTATGCCAGAACCAACCTGGTTCTGGAGTTTCTCTCCCAGCTCCCCCAAGGTCCAGCTGGAAGATTGGGACACGAGCAATTCTATTGCACCCCGAAGGCGCTGACGAAGCAAGCCAAGCACGTGCCCTACCGAAACCATCGGCTCACGTCAGAGTCTCAGAAAATCAAAGTTGACACCTGCGTACAAATAGCCACACCGCATGTAGTGTGTGGACTGACTTCGCAGCATCAATGCTGCACCCCTGGTAAATCACGTGAGCACTAGTGCTGTTACAGTCTTCGCAAGCTTTAAGGCAGCTGCTCAGCGATTCACTGGGTGGCAACGCCAAGACACTGGCGGGACGCTCAGTCCCCATGAAGGGCACTTGCGAATTCTTGACGCATGCAGATGTTCGTCAACTGCTCGCCGGCCTCCGGAAACCTCGATGAGACTGGTGCAGCGTGCCGACCCCGGTCAGTACGGATTCAGACAAGCTGGGGTGCCGGTGCGGCCGCAACAGTGTGTCTTAATCCCTGAATTCCCTTGAAGAGCCCGAGCATAATCGAATGTGGCCTTCAGCAACTATGCTAAGCTAGGAAGGCCCAGCGGTCGGCTGCATTTCTGGACAAAGGTTGGCCTATGCCGTGAGGGCCAAAAACATCGTCAACAAGGCTGGACACTTCGTCCTGAACATTCAGTTTGAACACGGCTGGCCGAAGGCTGTGCTGTGGGATCTTATTGGCAGGTGGAGAAAAATTCTGACAGCCAGGAAGTGGCACGTCTGAAGAAGGCCGGCAGTGGAGCAGCTAAGAGAGAAGACACACCCAACTTGTGACTTTTTTCGGGAAGCCATGTGCCATCAAGCGGATGAATCGTCTCGGCTCTGGAGCGATCCGAAGCCGAAAAAGTCTTATAAGGCACCCGGCCGAACCAGGCCAAGCATGGGCTCAACGATGCCGAGAATTTGCACGGGTTGTGGGAGGGAGGTGCTTGAAGACCTGCGGGCGAAGACGCACCTCGTGAGAGCTCTGAAGCGGCGCTTGAAGACCACAGTGCAACAAACCAGGTTTAGACTAAGAATTCTCAGTAGTGAAGGTTGTGTCTTGAACGATGCTGCGGGGCTGGATTGGTCAACGAACTCTTGATCGGGCTTCTCGGGAAGATCCCGACTTGATAGCCGGACAGCAGGGGCTCTGAGCTGTGTGCGTTTATTGATCGAAGCCGGTGCAGACATGGAGAAGGCAGAAAGAGATCAAGCACCTACAGGTCGATGGCACCACTCAATTACTTGCAGCATGTTACAAGGGTCGCGAGAGTGTCGCACGCTGGTTGCTGGAGTTTGGGGGCTACTCAGCATGTGCAAAAGGCTACCCGCAAATTGCGAAATTGCTGCTTCATTGCGGTGCGGACATAGGTGCCGTGGACATTGATGGGAACACTCCTCTTGCAGTGGCATCTCAAAAGGGCTCAAAAGGGGTACCAGAGGTAGTTCGGCTGCTGCTAGACGCTGGTGCAGACAAGAGTATAACTCGCCTAAAGGATGATGCAACACCACTCTTCCTAACCTGCGTGAACGGTTACACCAAGACTGCGCGCCTGTTGCTGAGCTCTGGCGCGAATGCAGTGGCTGCACACAGTTACATGTTGCTTGCACGAGTGCGCATGCAGGCATCGTGCGCTCGCTTATCGAAGCACACACTGACAAGAATAAATAAAGCTCTGGCAGAGGGAGCTACACCACTGTTCTTTGCATGTGAGGGTGGCGACACCTCCACAGTGCAGGTACTGCTTGAATTTCGTGCCTATGCAGACAAGCTGGGTCAAACGATGGCACTCCGCCGCTGTACATGGCGTGTCAGTTGGGGCGGATAGATACAGCACGCCTATTACTGGAAGCCTCTGTTGCACATGGTGGACTTGCTGTTAAACATTGCAGCTGACGTGGACATGGCCCGCCAAGACGGCATGACGTCGCTTCATGTTGCTTCGCAGAACAGTTATTTGGCAGCCGCAGGCTTGTTATTGGAAGCCGTCGCTGGCATAGGATAGATCGAGAAGCAGAGGATGGAGCCACGCCGCTTCTTCTGGCATGGACGCGTGGCCACAAGCAGATAGCCCCCAAAAAGGTATCGCACGCACGGATGCACTGGCATATTCGCAAGGAAAGACCGAGCTTTTCGAAGGGGTGGACCGTTCGCCATCGCTGTAGAGCAACGGCACCTGACCTTCCTATCGGACATGCACCGGCCTGTGGGCCCCAGACACTTTTAATCCTTGACAGCTTGGTGTCCACTGCTCGGAACAGGTGGTGCAATTGCTGAGCTCTGAACTCGAGGAGGCTTGGAGCAGAGACAGACTGAAGAGCTTTACATTCACATGTTTTCTTGTGTTGCTGGTTCAGCCAAGACGGTAACTAGCAGGGTTTCTCACTTTGCAGCTCAAAATTTCGCTTGACATTCCAGACCGCGGAGTCGTCGTCAGGCGAGGAAGAAAGCCGGAGATGCCCCACTGCCCAAACTGGGGGACGGCAATGCAGAGGAGGACAGGTGAATGGCTCGGGGTTACAAGGCTTGCTTGCCGGGCTAAGTCTGGCGGTTTTCGGACAGAGTGACACGGCAACCCGCACGTTTGCAGACATGGAGCCACTTCCGAGTCTTCCGGTCCCTATTTCGTTTATTCATCATGTTGCCAGAGAGCGGTCAGAGTTTTGGGTTGGATTTGCCTTGATATGTATACATATATATATATATGTATACACACAGACATATACATATATACTCTATATATATATATGTACACACGCACACCCCTGGCTCTCATCCCCCAACACCCACGCGCGGGAGGGGGGAACCAAAGCAGCATCTACTCCCAGCAACATGACCTATCCCCACCAACGCCATATCCACAAACCTGAGGAGGCATGGGCGGGAAGCTGAACCCTGTGCCCTGATCATACATCTGCCTTGATTGGAGTTGTGGGGGGCAGAAGCAAGCTGCATTGCTGCCACCTCCAGACTAAGGGCATCACAGGATCTCTGTCGCTGCATGTCAGCACACAAGCATTGCCGAGGCGAACACCCAGCTGCTCTGCACCGAACGTAAGCAGCTGCACGGTAATCCGACTCCCAAAACCACGTCTGTGATTACATAGGAAGCCGGTGTTCTTCCATTCATTTGGTTGCTCATCCTTGTCTCGCCGTGCCAGGAGAGTCCTCAGGCTGGTTGAGAGCGGCTTTCGGGCCCCGCGTAGAACGAAGTGCTGTAAAGCGCTGCAAATCTGCAGGCGCCAGCTATTAAATCTACGACATGCCTTCGCATGACTACTCATTTGATTGACTGTGTTTGCTGCTAGTGCTGTAGGCTCAGGCGAATTCACCGCATGCTGTTAATGCGTTTCACTTGGGCAGCCCAAGGTAATCACATGGACTGGCTTAGCATTTAGGGGCGGTTGCCTGCAAAGCAGGTCAACAAGCCACGCAAACACTAGCTACTCACACGCGAGTCCAAAGCTCTGGCCCCCCAAATACTGGCGTGCATGCAATGTCCTGTTTCTGAGCAATCCTTTGCATCTTGCCAGCTGCCAGGAACCATTCCTTACGGGGTTTCATTCATCTGTACCAGCAGGCCTGTGAGTCCTCCTTGCTGGCTACATTCCGAAGTCTGGTTCAAAGCACTAGACTAGTAGAGGCCCAGGCTTATGCTGAGATGGCACACCGCTTCACAGTCTCTTGGTTTCGCCCACGGGCCACGGGCCATTGCAAGCAAAGCCGCAATGCCATAATCTAGAAGAAGTTGTTGCAGATGGAACAGCATACGCATCATCACATTGGTTTCGTGGCACTCCTGATTCCCATGGTGTAGCCCCTGCATTCACCGGAGTAGAACTGACGCCATGAAGCGCGGTGTCTTCTTCGATTTCGATTCCACCATGTAGCTTTGAAGCGTTACAACACACTCGGGGGGGATGGGAAACTTGTTTGCCAGCTAGCCAGCATGATTAAAGGCCAAGAGCCCTCAGTTTCGCCAAGGACAACACCAATCAAGCTGCCACGATTCCATCGGCAGCTTGGTCAGACCATCGTTTTCTTGGTGTATATAACATCGACATCTGTGAATGCATGTGGTGCGCTCACAGGCATGCAGTGGCTGATAGCCCCGAGATCTTCGCGTCCATGACCCCGCAGGACAGTGCCACTCTTAAAAAAAGGCCCTCAACGCCTAATGTGTTGTGCAGATGCAAACACGTGAAATGCAAGATATATATATATATATTTATTTATTTATATTTATATTTATATCACACACACACCCCCGGCGACAGACCATCGCAGGGAGGATATAGACGGGGTTAGAATACAAGAAGCTTCAGGATAGTATAGAGTTTCCAAGCGTTGGTTTGTATCTCGAGCCTGTCGTTCTGTCAGTAGCTGATTCAATCCTTGCTTGTGTAAGACCTGCAGCGTTATACAGTTACAGTAGGAAGATCGCGTTTAGTTTCAATGGAGAATACGACTACCCATTCGGCAAGCCATTATGGGATAGATTGCCAAATAGCCTGTGCTTGGAGACGTTAATTTACTACTATGGGAAGACAAGTTCATCGATTGTTTTCGTCTGTCCATTAAGCACGGAACTTTCCCTTTTTGTCTACGATTGAAGACGTTGCACTGGTTTGAACTACATACTTCGTAAGATAAAAATAGTGTAAGACGTCTACTTATGTGCGCTTTATGTTTGCACGCGGGGTCTGTGACTGTTGTATTTTCATGTTTGCATGGCCTTAACAGGTGCTTACGACGAAGAGCTCTGATCAGTACCGGTAACCATCACAGCAATTCACAACAGAGTTCCAACATACATGATTGCTTCGTGGTCATCATTTGCTAGGTGTAACATGTGTACAACGATTTCGCAAAAAAATGCCACAACTCAAAGTTCGATCAACGAAGGAATGAACATGACTTGCTGTAACTGATGCACAGACTTGATATAGACAAAACTCAGGACAAAGTGTTGGTATAGAGACAAGATATCAAGAACCAACCTAGCGCAATACAAAGCTTGATAAGCAACCACATGTTGAGTTATGTTTGATTTTCAACAAATGAGCTTTCCTCCAGGTGGGAAACACATGTGCTACCAGATTAGCCCATCATTCTATCACAGCACAGGCTGGCAGTGACATGTTTATCAGCTTGTGAATAGGCATATGGGGAGTCCAGGTGTTCGTGCTTTTCGGCCTTGATAGGGCCGGAATCCTGGACTTCCCTGAACCGGCGCGGCCGGTCGCCGGTCGTACACGACGCGGGGGAGTCCAGGTTTTCGCGGCGTCCCTGCTGCATGAACAAGCTTAAACGGAGGAAACCATGGAATGAATTTAGAGCTAAACCTCAAAAAGAAAAACAGCGTTCCACTATCGGGCTCCAGCGCCCAATCGACATACTGCGATGCGCTCGAAGTTACACTGTCGCAAGATATTTCCGCCCATGCACCAGTCTACTGCAAACTTTAAACCCCTTAACCCTAATTAAAAGCTTGAAACCCTAAACCATAAAGAGCCAATACTGCTACATCGTCTTGTAATCCTGCTGTTCCTATACTGTAGCCACAAAGGTCCCTCGTGGTTTAGTACAAGTACAGTGCTTGGCACTTTGGTTAAAACGAGACGCATGGCCACCTCCGAGAGGGTCCCGGGCCGCCGAAGTGCGGTGCGAATCATGACGATGTTGATGGGATCAAGAACAAAGATCAAGAGCCACAAAAACAGAATGGAAGGGGAAAAAGAAGAGAAAAGAAATGACAAGAGGATGTGCTCATCCCAGCTGGCTTTGGCTCCGCCGACCCTGCCCTTTCTTGCTCTGCTCTGGCCTGCACTGCCCTGCCTCCTTGCCCTCCCGTCCTGCTGCATTACGCCCTGCCTTGCTGCATTGCATCGTGCCCTGCCCTGTGCCCTGCCCTGCCAGTGTCCGCCCTTGCCCTACCCTGCCCTGCTTGCCCTGCCCCTGCCTTGCCCTTGCCCACCCTCTGCAGTGCCTTGCTCTGCTTCGTATACTTTTGTCGCTTTTTGGTGCGTTTTGATGCTTGTAGACGCATTTTGACGCTTCGAGATCGGGGTTTGGATGGAGCTTTTCCGCCCTCGCTGTGCCTCTGCTTGGGTTACCCTGCCCTGCTTTGGCTTGCCCTGCCTTGCTTTGCCTTCTGTTTTGCCCTTCCGTCCTGCTGCCTGCCCCCCTGCTGCACTGCCTGTGTCCTGCCCTCCCCCATGCCCCCCGCCCCCATCTCGCCCTCGCCCCCGCACCGGCAATTTGCAGTGCGAAGAGTTGTCATGAAGGATGCAGAAACAAAGCATAAGAGCCGCAAAGGCTTAAATGATTGGAAATACAAAAGCGAACAGAAAGATCAAGAGGCCATGGGCCCCCTGACTGGCTTCGACTCCGGCTCCTTTGGTGGGTTGCTTGGGTCGGCTTTGGGCTCCTTGGTTTAGGGAGTTTTGCTGAGTCCTCGGGGGGTCAGGCCCTGATAGGCTCCATGGGAAAAGAGATGACAAGAAATGATAAAGAGACCAATGGGTCCATGATGGGGGTCGTTGGACTCCATGCTCCTGCGGAGGGTAGGCACCTTGCCATTGATCGCTCCCCAGGGTTCAGGCTCAGTGCCGCCATGGTGAGCACAGCGGCTGTGTGGCCATCCACGGCTTCGCATGCTGAGGACCATGGCCCTTGGCTGCATCTGACTGGTTTCAACTGCACTCATGTGTTAAGTGCCAACTAGCGTCACCGCACTAGTGCGCAGTTTTGTGAGTACATGTCCGTGTGTACTTACGAACGTGTTGGCTGCCGACGCTCATGTTCCCAGACAGGCTTGGCATGACATGCCGCCCCCAAAACACTGTTTCCGAAATTACTGCATGCATTGGCCTGAACCACCTGCGATGGGGCGTTTAGGCGCAGTATAGTGCTTCACTGAGTGGGATTTATATTGCCCTCAGCATTTTTCAATCCAGTGGGCGGTGCAGATGACGAAAAAAAGCGAAGTTCATCGGCGGAAGCCGTCGTGCTTGGAAACCACGGCGGTATGCCGCATACCCCCGATGGGATGGTCAGATCCGCTGGCGCTTGTGTTGTCAGTATACCAAGCGGTTCTATAGTCAGGGCCGGGGCGGCGCAGCCGGAAGCACGGCGACGCGTCCCAAACGCGGCCGTACGCGACATTCTTAACCGCAAGCCAAAGAACGTTTTGCAGAAACAACCTGATCGCCGGAATGTGCATGAGGAGGACCCAGGCCGTGTTGTGCTCAAGAAGTTGTGTTGCTCCGCTTGGGGGACCACAGTCCGGTTGTCTGCGGCACAAGACCTACGCGAGTGATCCGCTGTAAGACTGATCAAAGTTGCAATCTGAATGCTGCTTGGGGCCGCGTCGCTCGCAATCCTTGTCGTGCTCATATTGACCTTGATCCGAGTTTAAGTTCTGTCCTTGGCGATACGTGGGGATGGGAGCAGCCCAAAGGCTTTCAGGGCCAGTGTGCCCAGGGCCTCCTGCGCATTGAATCCCAAAAGGCTTAGCACCTCCTCGCGCATTCTGGCAATGTGCACGAGGGACAGCGTTGGTACTTCGAGCTTGCTTCCAAGGAAACCGGCGACACTGACATCACCATTGACGGGCTTGATCACGATCGCCAAAGTTGGGTTGACCATGCTGCGCATGCTGCCGGCATCGCTGGCGCCCTCGGAGTGGCTGTGGGACGTGTTCAGCCTGGCATCCGTCACTGGCGGAGCTCTTTTGACAACAAACGTCCCAAGACGTGGGACATGAGCGGAGTCCCTCGTGACTGGGGGCTTGAAGATGTTGTTTCTGCTGTCGAAAGTGTTGGCCTTACTGACGTCGTTGTGATCGAGAAGAAGCCCACTCGCAGGCGCACGCTGTGGAGACTCCGAGCAGAGCATGCCTGCATGGAGACCGTGATGTCTTGCATTTTCTGCCAGAAAATACTTCTGACGGTGACGAGGCCTGCCTTGCCTTGCCCTGCTCTGCTCTGCACCCCTGCCCCGCCCTGTCCTCTGCCCTGCTCTGCTTCGTTTCCTTTTTTCGCCTTTTGCCGCTTTTTGACACATTTTGATCGGGTCGGCTTTGGGTACCTGGGATGGGTGGGTGGCTCTTGCTGAGGCCTTGAAGTTGCAGGCCCAGTCAAGCTCCACAAGATCTGATGAAGAGACATTGCGCCCACTCCGCGGACCTTCTTTTCCTGCTGGATGCAGGCACTTTAGCGATCTTCGCTCCCCAGACGTCAGGCTCGGCTTCGCCATGGTGGGGCACTCTTTTGACTAGTGTTACTGTGAGCTAGGGGCTCGTGTTTGCATTGGAAGCCGGTTACCATGCTCCCGGGAAGGTTTGGCTTGGCACATCGTCTTTGTTTATCAGCGTTGTTCCCGAATTAAGTGAATGCATTGGCCTGGACAGTCCGTGGTGGAGGGCTTGGGCGAGGTACGGTTTTGTTCTGCTTGGGATTGGCATGCCCTCTGCTTGTCCAGTCAGCTGGGAGGTGCCGATGGCGGACTAAGACCAGATTCATCGGTGGGAGCCGCCGGGTTAGGAAACCGAGTCAAACCGAGGCGATATGCCCCACATCCTCGCTGGGATGGTCAGGCCCGCATGCGCTTGCGATGTCAATGTGTCAAGGCCGGGGGGGAGCCGCTGGGTGTGCTGCTACGCGTCGCAATCGCGATGAGAAAGTCTTAGCCGGGCTGTCAGCGCTCTTGTCGTCCATTGAGGCCGACGGTGACTCCGATGATGTGGTTGGGGATGCTGATGGTGCTGCTGGTGATCATGAGCAGGTTCTCAGTGCCTTACGTGACGTGCCATTCTTGGCCGTAGGCCAAAGGCCAAAAAACATCCTGCAGGAACTTAAAGCTCTTGCAGCACGCTTTGCTGGCACGCCTCCGGTGCGTCATGTTCGATGATTCGATGGGATGAGGGCCCGCTGAGGCAACGAATCACTCAAAGGTGGATTAAAGGGCTCAGGGAAGGCAGCAACGCCGAGAGTTCGAAACTGAGGGTCAAGAGGCCGGTGAGGTCAGGACGTCAAGGGCGCCACTGTAGCAGCGAGGGTGCCAGTGTGTTAAAAGGCAAGGGCAAAGACTCTTCCAACATAGGTTGACTTCTTAAGACCCTCCCGCCCCCAAAGTTAATAAACCCAGCACAGAGCTTATAAACCCAACAGGGAGATTATCAACCCTGGTAGATTATAAATGAACTTTTCGATTCCAATACTTACAAAACAGAAACAAATTACTATATAAAAATAAAGTAAAGATCATACTGCAAGTCATAAGATACATCTGTGAAACACATGAAATCTAGTGTTTCGATTCTAGCATTTCGCTGCTTGTCCAACCTCACAAATCTAATGGTGAAAAAGCGATGAAAACAGTGTTGTTTACGATGAAACGAGTAAAAGGAAGGTTTTTGGGGCGTGCCATATATATATATACATATATATATATGTATATATATATATATATACATATGCGCATACATGCATACATACATGCATGCATACATACACACACACATACACACACACACACACGCAGCTATGTGCGCATCCAAATGTTTATAGGGGCATATCAATGAATATTACAGTGACACCGTCTAGAGGCTGGGGCCCAGGTGCCGGCCTTTTTCCGGAGTGCTCCTCCCAGGAGATCTTGGCCAACTTCGGCGGCCGGCAGCGTTTGGCACGCCTGGGCCAGGTGTTCGAGGCTCTGCCGCGAGTTGTGTCCATGTGTGCAGGATATGTACATAAGGACAAAATGTATATGACATATATGCATACACACATGTGTGCATACATACATATTATACATATTTATATATATGTGTGTATGTGTGTATATCTCTATGTGTGTGTGTGTGCGTGTGAATGCGTGTATGTATACATATAAGTATATATATATATTGGTTATATGTGATAATCCTTCTCTTTCTCCTCAGGAGCTCACCAAGATGGGCTGCGAACTGCGCCTTGACAAAACCGCGATTAAGAGTGTTTTGACTCTGTCATCTTGAGGTTTATTGTGTCCATTGGCTTCCGGGACAGCTGCATACTACCTCACCTCCAGGCCCGGGCACCATTTTAGCGGACCCGGGACTTCCGCATGATTGGCATGGCAGCTTCACGCCTATCGCAACCACAGGCTGTGGGTCTTGAGCAGCATTTCAAGCCGGAGAATGACTGGCGCTTAGGTTGTCGGTGGGCTTTCAAGCTTGAGTACAACCTTTCAAGTCCACCAGCTCGGGACGCACCCCACAGCTGACTTCTGTGGCTGGTGCCGTTGCAGTTGGTGCCTCGATCGCCCCAGCCCAGGTGTTCGGCCAAGATTCCAAAGCGCTGCAGGAGCGCGGCTTCGTGAAGGGAAGGCCGGGGCTCACTGCAAGAAACCCTTGCAGATCAAAAACGACGAGTAAGAGCTCAGTTTGTCACCCTGCCTCATCAGCCATGCGGGTGCTTCAAAGAGGCTGCCATAGGCTACCTTTCACCGCATTCACACAACCAACGAAGAGGCTTCGAGTCTCGCAAGTGTCGGTAGCCTCTGAGTTGCCAGGCTGATCGTGCTGGCCTCAGTCGACTGACCACCGCATTCTGCTCAGGATGAGAATTTTGCGGCTGAGCTTGAATGACTGCTCGAGCATGTCATGAAAAGTATTGTCCTGTACAACAAAGTATTGCAATAATGCTGCTGCGACGTTGCTCGATGTCAATGAGCCGCAGAAGCGCGCGCTTGCAGTTGGAAGATACCCTTCTCAGGCCGATCTCATGTCGGCGGTTGCCTGAGGAACTTACCATACTCCTCAGCCTACAGCAGGTCTAAGCAGACAATGGGTTCTCCTTCGGACCGTGGCTTCATGATGTCTCCTGACACTGCCAGCCAAAGCTGCACAGGTGACCCCCGGAAGTAGACCAACGTAGCTTCGCATCGAAGCGAGCTCAGAACCCGTGGAGTTGCCTCTCAGGATCCCTCACGTGGCTGGTTGCCGACAGAGGCGCTCTTCGTGGATGACTCGGTTCGCCACACCGAGGCTGCGGCCCCCTACTGTGAGGCCGAGATGGGCCGCTTGAGCCTTGATTTGGGTTCCTGCATTTTGTGGTGAGCCGCAAACTGTCAAAGCATAGACATTCATTTGCAGCACCAGCCAGGTGGTCCGCGTGCGCGGGAATGGCCTGTCATTCCTGGAACTTGATGCTGTGGAGGCATGCGCTCTGGATACCGCAGCGTTCGTCGTGCACTTCTGAGAACGCAAAGGCTTCAAGGCAGCCGGCGTTGACAAAGACCCTTCAGAGCTCTGCGGAAGGTCCAAGCAACAACCAACGAGTGCGGCGTGCAAAAGCTTACTCATCCTGGGAAAGAGATGCATGTTAGTTGGTTCAACCAGATGCTGATGTTGGGGGTGAAACGATTGTCGAATCTTGACTGGCAGAAGAAGTCGTTTGCGAAATGGCGATTGCAAAGCATACCCTCGTGTCGCGGCATGAAAGGATGCGGAAGGATTGCTCAGAAGCGGTCTTCGTGCAATGGAAAGTCCAAGAAGGAGAAGAGAAGTGCGGCTCGCTTCTGCTATAGGTAGATTAGCCTCGATCTGATGATTGCCAAGCACGGCTCTGCGTTCCGTGTCTTGCAACCTCTTTGAAGGCTCTTGCACGTGGCCGGTCTCCCAGTATGCTGACTTATGTTGAGAACTCGACAGAGAGAGTGCGGATGCACGAAGCAGTCCTCACCGATTGGAAGCCACGACGGGCTAGCAGCTGGCATGCTCGATTTACTCGAGGCGAACGCAAGCCTTTGCCTGGAAGAGTCCCATGGCAACTGCATGAAGACGAGGCGCTGCGTCCTCACAGATCATGCACTGAGAAGGGTTTCCAAAGCCGCGAGGCAGTGAAAGCCTTGGGCGGCTCTGCGGCAATGCCAGGCACGAGAGAGAGAGAGAGAGAGAGAGAGAGAGAGAGAGAGAGAGAGAAAGAGAGAGAGAGTAAAGTAGCCATTTTGGCTCAAGGCCGTGAGTGGTTCAAGAGACCGGGGAAGCTTCCGCCCTACCTCTTTCTCTTCCTTTCCTTCTTAGCTGCTGTAACCGGTCTCTCAACCCGGGGGCCTTTCATCTCCTCCCTTCTGGCCTCTCTTCGCGATTGCTGACCAGGGGGTACGGCAAGTTTGCGCTGTTCCTGCCGAGGGTCCGGGACTGGGACATAGTCGGGGGGAGTGCAGCAGCAGGGCATCCACACTGGGGCGGGGGAGAACCTGCACATCTACCTCACTGTGCAGGGTCCAGGGAATACCTTAACGATACGAGCACCAACTTCTCCTACATTGGGTGGGGGAGAACCTGAACCGGACGATCGCGAGCTACTTGCAGATCGGCGACCTAGCAAACCATGCCAGTGAACACCGCGAGCAGTGGCGGGGGACTCGGCCCCCAACATGACATGCATGTGGACCAGTCTGGCGCACAACAACACCGCAAGAGACCTGCAGGGGAAGGGGAACAAGCAATCACACTCAGTGCTATCTAAGAGACCTTCCGAAGTGAGCTGGTGGCTGCGGTCGGGGGGATGCAAACAGACATCCGCACGCTTACAGGGCGCATGGACCAGGTGGAGGGGCAAGTTACAAACAAGCTACAGCAGACCATCAACCTCCTCGACGACATGACCTCCAAGTACTATAAGCAGGAAAGCATACTTCAGCAATTACAAGAGGCGGACCGAGAATTCGACGAACGGTTGCGCAGACTTGAACAAAAGGGGAGCAGCAGCGAAGCAGACCCCTCTGGGGCAAGCACCACAGACGCAGGGGGGGAGAGACGTGCTGCACTGATC